CACAAGAGGTCGATGAGGAAGGTCGCAGACCCAGACGTTTAGAGAGAAATATAAATAGTAGCTTCATCTCTTCTGTCGGTGCACCACTTCTATTCTTCTCCTCGTTTGGGGATTTTATGAGTTTGGGTCTCTGTTGGTAATCAGTCACCGCAGAGTGACACCACATTCGTCTCTCTGCTCGATGACCTTGTTCACTTGCCCCAAACAACGGATATAAATAATGATGGATGGTGTTTGTTGGACCAGAGTCATAATAACAGAATTTTAAACTTCAATATGGTTCTTATCAAAAGGAAACAACGTTGATTCTGGTTTTTGGTACCATGGCAACACAAACAGCCCCCCAGTGTTGAGTCATTCCTCTTTATTAATTACTAAAGAAGCCGGCTAACTCCTGCACACTGTCGACGTTTACTCTAACACAGACTCTTTCTCTTGCAGCAGCTTTAGGTTAAAAATATGATTGAGTTGATACCGGTATAGTCCAGGGGTTAGTGTGCCCCAAGTCTTAAGGTCTTGAGAGTGGGCGACCAGCGGTTTGAATCCGACCTGCCGTTCCTTTTCCCGCATGTCGTTCCCCACTCCCTCTCTCTCTCTCTCTCTCTCAGATTTCAATCCAGTAGAAAGAAGAATTACACAAAGATATTTGTGTACAACTTTTTGGAGTTGTGCAGTTGTGGAGTGATGGTTGTTCTTGGTCACTCTCTGCCACAACAAAGAGCTATGAAGCTTGAGGTTCATATTTGAACAACCTGAATTAAAAACATTAGGTCCTGTCTACCACCTGACGCAGAGTGTAGATGCTAGTGTCATTGTAAGATAACGACTAACGCAGTTGTCATGCCCACTATCCGTATTGTGTAAGCAGTAAATGTACTAGCACCCATCTGTGTGCTCAGGGTGTGTGGGTGTCATAATGAAGTGTAATCAGGGAGACACATTGCTCCCTTCAGGCAACAAAAACCTACTGCACCCTAAACCAACAAAAACCTGGTTTAAAGTATAGTTTTACATGCTGGATCTGTTTGCTCCCTGCGCCACTTTGCACCCAGATTAATATTCTCATCTGAGTTGGACACGCCCTAAAGACACTTGCACCAGGTGTTTCAAACGACGCACCTGACACTGTTTATTTTTTTAAAAAAAGATTCTTTGTTCTGCACTTTTGGTTCCTGCGTCCAGCGATTCTTCTGAACACTGATGCTGTTTGCCTTCCCGTTGACTGAGCAGCACAGTCAGAACAGGCTCGTGTGTATAAAACTCTGCAGGATCAATGTATGAGCGTGGAGTCCACACACACGTTTGAGTGTGTGTGGGTCTAATGAGGCGGTACATACAGAGGCATCATTAGGACTCTTCTCTTCATGCTTCTGGGCCTCAGAATAAATGATCAAACAGAAAAACAAACACGCCCCTCTTCTATATTTTCTACTGTGTGTGCAGCTTTAAGAATTAATGATCACAAATCCTGCAGCACGTTCCTCTTATAAGTTTGTGTATTTTCCATATTACAGTGAAAACACCTCTGTAGTCATTATGTCATTTGTCACTGTGGGAGCTCTCTCTCAGTCAGACTTGTCAAATCTGACTCTCTGTGACTTTTAGAAGGAGTCCTTTATGTGCAGTAAAATATATAGCGTTTTTTAAACTGATGTCATTTTCCAGGTGAAGCGTCCAAAGTGGAGCTCTGGTTCCTGTTTCAGCGTCTTTAAAAAACCAAAAAGTGTTTGACACTTTAATGAAAGATTAGCTCACAGTTTCCGGTCCCGCTCTGATACGTCATGTGTGTTTTCCTTATGAATGAACCATATTGTAAGAGCTGGTCGTGATTTATTTAATTCAAGGGGCCAAGAGTGTGGTCATTTAATGTGGTCGCTCTGTTGTACTGGAGTAGCTGAGAGCATGCTGTTACAGCCAGGTACGACTTCCTCACTACGCTGTTGCTTTTTTGCTCGGTTAGAAAACAGAAAAAGTAATCTGTACCTAAACTATCCGAGGGGTTAACAGTAACTGTAGATACAGCCTTGGGCCTAGTCCACACGAGTCATCAAAAAAAAATGTTTTGACAACACTTACAGCCGATCTCATTCCACTCTGTCCTTCACTGTGTGGGCGAAGCAGCTCACTCAGAGACCGACTGCGATGTCCTTTAACCATTTCATTTTCAAGTTTGTCCCACCAACCCGAAGTCCGACCGGGTCTCGTCCAAAATCACTGGGGTTTTTGTCGTCTGAGCGTCGTATGAAGCGAAAGTGACCTCCGTCGTCTAATCAGGCGTCTCTGCTCGTCAACATAGTGGGAGAGTAACTGTGTATGTATGTGTGAGCGTGTTAAAAGTCCAGTTAGCAACGGTTACAAAAACAAAACTCAGTTTCCCCATCGACACAGAAACACCTTCAACAGAGTTTCTGAACACTTTCACCCTGGAAGGAGTTTTCCAAAAGAAAAAGCTACTTCTTCAAAAATACCAGCCTACATGTGGAGTAGGCCTTGGTGTCTAAATCTGAAGATGAAAAATGATTTAGCAGCATCTCTGACTCCAGCTCGTTAACGTGTTCATGTCGACAAATCTCAGACTCCTCTGAAAGCTCAAACATCTGTGCCACTTCGGTCGAATGATGCAGCTTAAAATCTCAAATTATGATGCCTGACTCGAGCCTTTTTAGGATGCATTCAACAGTGCATTTAGCATTAGCATGGTAGCAGAGATTTAAGGAGTTAATCTGTGATAGGCTGCTGTGCATGCAGACTTTGTGTTCAGAGTGGAGGGTATAGACCTGTTGCTTATAGTCTGCGACTGGTGCATTTGCAGACATCATCATTTGCAGCTTGATGATGATTATGATTGAGTAATCTACTCTGTTTGTTACATTATTGTCACAAACAGTTGGTTGGATTTTCTCCTTTAGTTTGAAGCGTATGGTTGTTTTTATTTCGAAACATACTCTTCATTTCATCTCTCATCTTGCTCATTTGGCTTCAGGCTGTGTCTGTCACTTCTTCTCTGTCATCCTCTCTCTCTCTCTCTCTCTCTTCTCTCACCTCCCTCCCTCCCTCCCTCCCTCCCTCCTCCACCTCCTTGTTTCTGCTCTGACAAAGATTCATGCGTTAAAGTCTTCTCAGCTACGCCTCTTGAATACAAACTCAGAGAACAGGCGGTGAAATGTGTTTGAGGCCTTTTTTCTGTTAGAAAGCACCAGACAGGACACACTGCAGTCCCATGAACGAGGCACGTTAAACAATCATTGGTCCAGTCCTCCTCATGCCACTGCTCTACAGCTAACTGTCTCTCCTTCAGGCTTAGTGAAGCCATCATAATATTCCACTGACCAGAGGAAGAAGAAGAAATCAATATCATCCTGCAGCCGACGCTCTCATTACCCTTGGTTTGTGTAAGGCATGAGTTGGCTCCAGTGAGCCGTACAGGACATTAAGATGAATAACAGCTGACTCTAGAGGCGTTTCCATGGTAGCAGAGTTCCTCGACCCCACCCTCTCTAGTTTGCCATCCCTGCCCCCATATGTTTGCTCTCTGCACTCTGGTGCAACAGAGTCGGTCGAGACCAAAGCGCCTTCAGGACGAAATCAATGAAAAGTCAACCGTCAGCAGACTGCAGTCCCTCTCCTTTATCGGAGAAAACATTAAACATGATTTAAACCACAGTAATAACCACAGACTGTTTACAAGAAGAGGACGTGACCATGATGATGTCATCTTTAGTTTGTTGACGTCTGTTTTCAAGCCACATTTTTGCCTTTAGCAGGTTGTCCTCATGTTTGTGCAGTAGTCATCGCAATAGGACAACAAATTTGAAATGCATTACTACACTTTAATTCCTGTACAACAAAAATAAGATAGCCACGCCCTAAAAAAAAACACACACAGAGTTTAAAATGGGTACTGCAGTCCAAATTCAAAACATTGAAGACTGCTGTTTTATCTCGCCCCCTCCTCTCTAGAGTGGATGCTCACACAGGTCACCATGTGGTGGACACTGAAGCTTCAGTGTTTATCCAGCTCTGCATCGGTCTGTAAACCTTTCTGTGTTCTAACCTCTCTCCATTTTTCAAAAGCATCTCCAACATTGATCCTAGTTTGAGCACGTTTCTGCTCGTGGAGCTTATTAGAAACATGCAGAGGCTTTTTAGGTCGGGTACAATCACTTCTATCTGAACTACTTCTCTTGCCCACTTCCATCGCTGCAACACCTGTTGACCTGATAACTGCTCTCATATCTGACAAACCGAGGGGCATCCAAAACGGCCGTGTGGGGGTGTCTTAAAACCGCCTACCTTCTCTGGTCCAAACAAATCCAGATCATTCAGGAGCAGAATCTAAAGTTACAAGGAGGAAATACTGTCTGCTGCATTGTTGTCAGAGAAGCCAGCACTTCAACATAGCAGTGGGGGTCTCCAGTCTCCAGCACTGTTATTTTAGGGGTCGCAAGCTGGAAAGTTAGGGAACACCTTCTCTAAAGTTTACTCTGCTTTCTTTATGGTCTACTTGTCTCTAAATGTGACCATGATTTACAAACACTAGATTATATAAATAAAAATGTATTATTATATATTTCCCTCTGTTCCAAAGCTGTAGCATCATTTTTCATTAGTCTTATATTTTAAAACTAACTACCCTGAGTGAATGTGAAGCTCCTATGTGTTGAAATAAGCAGATTAGTGCAGCTGGATGGCGGCTTCCTGTTAAATCTAATGTGTTGACATGTCTTCTCTCTTTAATTTTCCTTAAAGGTATCTGTGATGTTGCTTCAGAAATACTTTTTTTCCTCAGGATGTTTAATTTCAAAGTGCAACAGATAGTTCAATGTAATATTTATTCTGTGTGTTCCCCATGATGCCGTGCCTTTGCTTCGTCAGTAAGCCTCTGGCGAGAGGTGATTCATACCCGCTTGCTTCTTTTGTCTCTCTGAAAAGTTACTGTGACCCTGACTTCAGTTTCCTGTTGACTGAAAAAACATGTTTTGTGTCTTTTTGTGTTGCAGTTGAAAGAGAAGTGGTGCAGAAGAGAACCTTCACCAGATGGATGAACCTGCATTTAGAAAAGGTCTGTTGACATACTGTCATGGCTGCAGAAAACACACAAACAGCAGGAGCAGTAATCATGGTTTCCACATGCCGTTATTACAGAGCTGCTCCCTCACCTCTCATTTACTAACTGAGCAGAATGACACCTTTTTTTTTTTTCTTTTTTTTGTCTTTTATTGTCACTCCGCCCTGAAGCCCAGTGCGGCTCCGTCTCCACCGCAGACCGCACGATGCTCGCTGTGTGCAGCGGAGACGTGTGCTGCACATAAACAACGCTGCAGTCTCGGAGAGTTTGAGGTGTGGCTCTGTGGAGACGCCTGCGTGCTGCAGTAAAGTTTCACTGGGCTGTAAAGTGTTAATCTGAGAGAACAGTGGTCATGTTACAGATCTATTTACCCCCGGGGTGGTCGTTTTCCTCTCAACACCTCCCTGTTAGCTGATGTATGCGAACACCTCGGCTGATTGGATGAGAGAGTCCGTCCTCCACGGAGTCACCGGAGAGCCGTTTAAACAGATTAAAACTGTAAAGAAAGAAGATGCATGTGGAAGATTAAAGAGGAGCAAATAGGTACCAAATGAAATGGTGTGAATAAATAACAGATTACATCTTCAAACACTGAAGCTTAAAAAAACATGACTACGTCTTTTATCTAATTTAGAAAGTTATACATCCTGCCTGAAAGGTTTTGGATCAATCAAGTGTTCATCTTTCTCCCTCACGTCTACAAAGTCTTCCTACACCTCATCATGCCAAATGTCTGACAAACACTTCTACATTTACAGGTGGCTTATATTATATATGTATTGTAGTCCTACGAGGCAAATGGGGGAAAAAACATTGTGATCCTTTTTCCATGTTTCATCTGAAGGATTTTCTTTCCTGTGTTTACGACTCAAGAAAAGGTGAAATCTTCTTCCATTCTTTTATTTTTCTGGCTGTGCTCACCTTCAGTAACTTCTGTGGGTGCTGAATCCTCAACCACAAAATGTTTAGAAGGTTTTTCAGGACAGTGCACCAAATCCACTCTTTTTCTTTTTTAATGCAATAAAACAACGAAACAAGGTGAAAAAGGGTTGTCAGTGGAGTGAAAATACGATTTTTTAAGAATCAGATTTCTAGGTATTTTTTGGCAAATTGCAAATGGACTTGAAATTGTTTTTTTTGTTTTCTAGTTTTCAGATTACTCAAAGCGCTTTTACACTGAAGGTCACACCTACACATTCACACACTGTGATGGTAGAGACTGCTGAGTAAAGGACCCATCAGAAGTAACTCATCTCATTCATACACATTCACATGCTGCTGAAGTAATGGGAGCAACGTGGGGTAAAGTGTTCGATGTGTCTTGCCTTAGGAAAAAAATCACCCGCTTGCTTTCACACGTGCGTCGACCCCGGCATGATATTTTCAGGATTGCATTCATGTGGTGCTTAAGTTTCCTCCATTAAACGGGTGGTATAAAAAAAACTTTAAGCAGGTGAAGCAAAAGTAAACAAGGATTGAAGCTATAACTTTTATTATAAGTCTGTTTTTTTAAATAATTTCTCAGATAAATGTCTTTATTTTTACCCTGACAACCAGTTATTAAAATTAGTTAGAGCAGGGGGAAATAAAAGTGTATTGTTTTTTCTAATAAACTTGAAATATTTTCCCATCAGTGGTAAACACATGGTAAACATGATAACCTGCTCATTTGACTTATTTGTGTTTGTTGTTGTAATACTTAATTTGGCCACAAGAGACTGAAACGCTGCACTTCACTTTGTCCTAAACCGAACTGAAAACAAATCTTTGTTTAGTTTTCTTATTTTTATTTCCCCATGCTCTGCAAACACAAGGTGTCCTTAAATCAACATCATTATAATTCACTTCAATACATGGATGCATTACACTCTCTATAAACTGAGCGTAATGTTTGCAGAACACCTGTCCATGTAAACACAGCGAGCTGGAGCAGAGTCTTACATCACTGTTGACTCAGTCACGCCGTGTTTCTGTTTTTCCTTCCTGTCTCTCTCTCTCCGGTTTCAGTCCTGAGCAGGGGGTGAGTCAGGGCGAGTCAAGAGGCTGAACGCTGATCAGATCTTTTGTTTTCTCACACACAATGAGCCTCTCTTCTCTTACTCACTGTTTGGCCTTGCATCAAATCTCTGACCTAGTAATTGACAATCACACATTTGTCTTCAGTCATCTTGGAAAGTTCCAGTCACTTCATACCCCCCCCCCCCCCCCATGCACTGTTCGCCGTGTTCAGACAGGTCTCACAGATTCCTCGGTGTGTAATGACTTGTTGTGATAACAGGGCTCACACGGTGCAGACTGTGGTTTACTGACTGATCCACGGTTTAAAACATCACATTACAGCGTTTACTCTTCTGTCAGCTGGGTTTGATTTCACTCAAATTTCACTCCATGAACATCTCCATAAAAAAGTGTAAAAATAAAACCAAAGACAAGCCAATTTAATATAGGCGGCTCAAACTAAAATGAATATTTCAAGGAGATTCATAAAATCAATCTTCAACTTAAAAAGAGTTGTTAAATATTTGATGTTTCTCCCATGGAATTAGCCAGGGCAGCAAATTAAAGCCCTGTTCAGACTGCACTTTTTCCCTCAGCCATCATCACCTCTTTGGTAAATGGAATTGAGCTTGTATAGCAGTTTTCTAGTCTTCTGAATACTCAAAGCTCTTTCCTCCACAGGTCACACCGACACATTCACACACTGATGGCAGAGGCTGCAGTGTAGTGAGACCATCAGAAGTATCTAATCCCACATCATACACTGCTGTAACTTCATATTGATTCCAGGACGGTGTAACATTTGTGTTCGAGGCGTTGGGGAAGCGCAGCACAGCGAGAGCTCCACATAGACACACAGTCAGACCTGCACACACACACACACACACACACACACACACACACAGAGAGCTGTGTTCCCCTCGCCTCGGCTTTAAACCTCACACTTTTGAGAAGGGTCCTGATATTGTATTTGATTTTCCTCAAAAATGTTATCGATTGTCCCTTATGTTTCCTCTTTCTTTCCTTTTTTTCCCAGTGTGACCCACCCATTGAGGTGCACGATCTCTTCCGGGACATCCAGGATGGACACATCCTCATGGCCCTGCTGGAGGAGCTCTCAGGCTGCAAGCTGGTCAGACTCTCACACTTTGTTTTCTTCATCACAGTGATTTTCAAACACGCAGCTGTAAAGTATTTAGAACATTATCATATCAGCTGTTCACTTCAGCAGCCCTGGGAGTTTGAGTAAATGTGTCTGTCTGCGGTTTCTGTACTCGTCAGTAATGCTTCTTTTCATTCTGAATGATTTTCCAGCTTCATGGATTCAAGAAGTCCACCCATCGGATTTTCAGACTCAACAACATCGCCAAGGTCTTGTCTTTCCTGGAGGAGAGAAATGTGAGTAACACCAGCATGAAGACTCGTCCACTAACTGCTTTCTTATTGGCTGCATTAATAACACATCCTGTAAATTCATGTGTATTCAGGTGAAGCTGGTCAGCATCGACGCCTCCGATGTTGCCGATGGAAACTCCTCCATCATCCTGGGACTCATCTGGAACATCATCCTCTTCTTCCAGGTAATCTCATTTTCTCTGACAATATCTTTGGGCTGTCCTTGAACTTTAATACCTCTTCACCCACTTTGAGTTTCCATCTCCTCACCTCTGCTTTTCTTTTCACATGAAATGAGGTCAAGTGTCTGTCTGCTTCACAACCTGTGGACTTTCCATGAACAAAGCCCATCAAAGTAGAGCATGCTGGGTATTTTATGTAATCCACAGTGCGGGTCAGTGGCTTGGACCGACACCATGGGTCAATCAGTTCACTCAGACTGTCCTCATGTACTGCAGGTCATCTCCTGTATGAAGCTGAATAAACTGCCAGGCCTAAGCTCTGGTGAATGGAAAAGCCAAGCAAGAGGCACTGAGCTTCTTCTGTGGTCTTTTAAAGGGGTTTAGTCGTGAGACTGCTTCAAAGGACTTTAAGGGAATATCAGTGCTTCTGAAGTGAAGCCCAGAGAAGCTTGTTTTTCATGAGTTCAGAAGATCACAGGAGACATACGAGATACAGCAGGAATAAAGAGAACAACATCCAAACAATTGGTCGCTTTGCATTTGAATGGTTTGATCAGCTGATCATTTGGTGACTGTTTTGACAAAATGTTGATCCGTCGATGGGATATACTTGAAGGGGTACTCCATCAAAAATAAACTCTGCACGTTTTGGGGTCTCGCATGGTTGGGGGGGATTCTACCATGGAAACCATGACAACTGATTTAAACCTCTCACTTCTCACCCTCTTTTATTTAACCAGGACATTCTTGTGACAATCCCTTAGAGGTAAACATCCCGGGACGTGTGTATATTAGCTTCTCAGGAAGATTTGAGGGCCTGATATGTTATAGAATTTTGCAGGAGTGCTGATGAAGTGCTTTAGTTTGCAGATAAATGATATGACTGCAAGCTAGTCAGCATCTTTCTTTAGACACACCTGTTGGATCAAATGGATAAAGTGCAAAGTGCTCCTTTGTTCTGTGTCACGGTTGCCATGACAAACAGTGGGTAGAAATCCTGTTACTCACTGGGACTTTTACCTGTTTGTTGTCTTTTTGCAGAACTTTGAGCCAGAAAAGATTTCACTTCATACCTGGGATATTTTCTCTCTGACACTCTTGATGAAAGTAACCCTACTGATCACTGATACTGATATCTGAGTATAAATATTCAGCAAATTGTACGCTCAAGTGTCAGCATAAAGGGCATGGGTAAATAATCTGCTGCAATAATTTGATACTCAGCAGCTCAATTGTCCGCTAAAAACAGTCGAGTGAAGGGGAATATAATCCATCTCTCGGTGTGCTTGCAGATTAAGGAGCTGACTGGGAACATCAGGAGCCAGTTCCCCTCCTCCTCCAGCCTGTCGTCCATCCCGACCAGCTCCGACTCTGACGCTTCATACTGCAGCACGCCGTCAGAAGAGAGACAGACGGCGTCCACGGCCATGCGAGAACACAGCAAGACCATCAAGAAGCTGCTGCAGTGGGTACAGAAACGAACACGCAAGTGAGTTTGGTCTGCAGTTTCAATAAAGTTTGTTATATTGAATCTGAGAGGGTTCTAGATAAGAGGGACACGAGGTATTTCACTGGCTCCAGTGCAGTATACTTTAGGTCTTCCTCTTATAGTTTTTTAAGTGCTCTTCTCGACTGATCGCTGACTTTGTCCTGTTCCAGGTATGGAGTGGCAGTGCAGGACTTTGGAAAGAGCTGGAAAAGCGGCCTTGCATTCCTGGCCGTCATTAAGTCCATCGACCCCAGCCTGGTGGACATGAGGAAGTCTCTGCTGAGGAGTGCAAGAGAGAATCTGGAGGACGCCTTCAGGATAGCCCACTACAGCCTGGGTATCCCACGCATACTGGAGCCTGAGGGTAACCAGCAAATAGCTTTTTCTACCTATAAGTAAAAAATAACTAATATTTAATGAAATGAAAACTAAGAGTATTCCAAGTTGTAAAAGTAGCTGATCATCGAATAGTCACCATAATGTTCATGTAGTTATTGTAGGGCCAAAATCAAAGGTGGATACTTTCCAGTAAGAAATACAATTCAACAGGTTTCCCATGGCTAAATAGTTAGCTTAACCAGACCTTCTTACCCCAATCGTCTCTGCTCATTGACAAATGTGGGGCCAAATGTGATGTCTTTTCCTGAGGCCCAGAAGTCCTGTCGACGCCCCTCGTTGTGGATGTAGTTTAGGTATCTATTGACAAATGGTACAGGTCCCGGCAGTGGCGGTTCTAGAGTTTGTTGTGGCCCTAGGCAAACATCAGGTGGGGGGCCCTCCATCCATCTTTCATCACCCTTATGTCTGACAGTGTCCCGACGCTTACTCTGCTTCGGTTTCTTTTTTCTCTCCGGATGGATGGATAATGGATGGACAATTCCTCTTCTTTTTATCTTTGTTGAACAAACTTTGGTTTTTACAGCATGCAAAGCTTAGCAGGGCAACAAGAGCAAGTTCTATCAGATGGGGCCAGTTTAGGGAGGTTTCCGACTGTCAATGCAAAATTTGCTCATTTTGAGACACTGCTGTGGTTTAAAGTTTGTCAGCCCTCAGGGGCCCCCTACTGGTCTGAGGCCCCAGACAGTTGCCTGCCTTGCCTGTTGACAAGCAGTTGTTGGGAGTCATAACGATGGTGGTGCACTGTGGTGATTGTTGTTTATCTTCCCAGATATGACCATCAAGGCAACAGATGAGCAATCCATCATCATTTACGTGTCACAGTTCTTGGAGCACTTCCCGGGCATAGAAGAGGTAAGAGTCCCATCCTAACGGGCATGTTCGAAGTCAGAATCTACACAATAGTATTTTTACTAATACTTATTCTGTTGTGTCTCAGGATGAGAGCTCCCGGCTGATTGAACGTAGCGTCTCTATGTGCCGACTCAACTACCGTGAGGCCGACGCTGAGTACATGAGGAACGGCACTCACCGGGGCAGAGTGAGGGAGAGATCCTACATGTTTGAGAGAGACTCAGCCCAACGCCCACCCAAAATTTTAATTTCCACCGTGTCCGAGGACAGGAGCACCAAGTCGCCCTCCTTTAGGGTGGCCGCAGCTCGCTCATGGTCCAGTGATGACATCCTAGCAGATGCAGAAGAACTCTCCAGGAGTGTGGTGAAAGAAGCCAAGGAACCGCCACGTGAGGTCTCAAGCAACTCAACGTCTAACCCCCCACAGCTGACGAACACTCAATCACCCACTAACTCTTCAGTTCCTGAGTCTGTTAACACCGAGTCGGTGATCGGTGACTCGGCAATCGGCTCCCCGGACTCCTGGGTTGAGAGCGAATTTGGGACAACACCAGAGAAGTTTTGCGAGAGCCGAAGTGACAGCTCTCTATGCGACAGTGGAACAGCTTGGGATGTGTACCGTGCTACCCCTGTGGAGATCACTACCCTTGATGATGTTGTCCCATCACTGGACGATAGAACCCCTGACGAGCAGTCGATCGCAGAGTCCTACACAGACGAAGGGATTTACTCTCTAAGCTCGTTGGAGAGTACACAGGAGAGGATGCAAGGACGTTCACTAGAGGAGGTAGTGAATGGGAAAGAGGCCAACATTGAGAGCCACAACCAGGACCTTGCTTTAGAACAGGGACCTGATCATAGTGAAGCTGAGATTAAAAAAGAACTTCACAAAGAGCAAGAACAATCTTCTGTAAAGGGCAATGCAGAAGAGGTGATAGATCTCCTTGAAACTATCCGGTCTCCACTCATTTCCATTACCGAAGTCCCTGAAGATTTAGAAGATCTTGCGAAACAATCAAGTTCTGATGAGCGCACACACAGGAAACCAGAAAGTGACAAGAAAACAGTGGAGGCTGCAATGGGCCGGGAAGTACAAATAAATGGTCCAACTGAAGGTAAGGATGTAAGAAATACTGTTGAGGAAGTCGAGGAGGAAACTGAATGTCAGAAAACAGAGGAGACAAAGGGAGAGTTAGGACAGGAATCAGGGATTGTAAAGAAAAAGGATGAAGTGGCAGTGAAGACACAAGACAAAGGAAGTGAAGGAGTTCAAAGTGACTTACAGGAAATCCTCGGAGCAGAGACCTGCGCTGTGGCGAACAAAGACGTGGCCTCAAAAACAAGTCTTGCTTCGGGCATAAACATTCCTGAGATCTCTATTTCAAGTGAGCCAGAGGAGCAAGCAGAAGGGGAAAACTGTGACCGAGAAAGACAAGATCATGTTGCAGATGATGAGGTCCATCAGGAGGAGGAGGAGACATCTGGAAGTAAGGTGACAGACAAAGATGTCAACAGGCCTCAAAAGCCAGAAGAATCGAGCTGGGACTCAAATGACAATAAGGACAAGAAGCCTCTTGAGATTTCTTCCTGTCTCATATCAGAAGACGCTAAACCAACAACAGACAATTTGGATGGTACGGATGACCCTAAGAACCTTGATTCTCAGACAGGTAACACTGAAAAAGACTTAACATCTCAGACGTCTTCTACAAATGCTAAATCTCAACCTGTGAGTACTGGGCAGGAAGTAGATTTACCCCTTCAACCGGTCCAGGACAAACTGGTTGATACCTTTTCAGACAATGAGACGTCTGCAACACAGCAGGACACATCGAATCCAGTTAACTCAAAACCAAATGGTACAACTGAGATGTCCAGACCCAAGGACTTGTTCTCTCCCAACTTTGATCGAAATTCCCCCACAGACGACTTACTCGGTGACCCGATCGAACCGATGGACCTGTTCTACCCCGACAAAGAGGAGCCCATGAGCACAGAGCCAGTTGACTCTGATATTGAGAGTTGGCCTTCTGTTCTGAGCGTGTCTCCTCTCCAGCCGGCGCCAGCCTCAGAGACTCAGCCAGACGACCAACCGCTCATCCTGCTGAGTGACGACTTCAGAAATGGAGTGGATACAATACAAGACAATGGCAAGGTAAATGGGAGTTTATTTGGTAGGACCTTGGCATTGATCAGACCATTATACAGTAGATGCAAAATTAGCTTTTAAGACATATACACATATCCCCATGCTTTTGCTCCTCATTCTGCTTATTTAAAAAATATGAGAAAAGACTCTGCTGGACACAGGGCCTTAGGGACATTGGAAAGTCCACCACTTTGCTTTGTCTCTCATGGCAACAGACTATGATCTAGGGCTTCAAGTGTAGCAGTTATTGAAATTTTTTCCAAGGTTCTTAGATTTCATTTTGACCTCTTTAGCTCTCTACAGAAAGTTTTCTTGCTTACAATCGAAGCCTCTGACCACAAATAGAAAATAACACAAATCTTGTTCATTTACGTAGACAGTTTTTAGATGTTTATTGAGATTAAAAATGCGATGACTTCTCTCCAATGTGTAACCTCTGTTCTAATAAATATTACACAAGATACGAGCTGGTGGATTTAACCTCCACTGGGTTTTTTTTCCAGTTGACTAAATAAACTAACCATGGGATTGGAAACTCTCTCGAAGAGAAATCAAACAGATTTTCTGCTGAATTATTCCAGCAAAGTGATTGGCATCTCAGAAAACACTTTTCCTCTGCCTCCGTATGTGTGTGTCTAATGGTCCAGCTCCCCAACAGGAACATGAAGCGACGTGATATTTCACACTTCTACCATCTCTCACGTAATGACCAGATGACCCGCAGACATTCATCATCCACAGTCACACCATTCTGTTCTCTTAATGTTTGCAGAAAGCTGGAGGTCATGCATCAACATTTTGTTTAAACAGAACATAAAATGCAGAAATCGTTGCTCAGGGAGATTAAAAAATGAGGTCTTTATGTTGTTTTTCCAGCAGTAATCTACAATCCTTTCAGAACTGTCTGCAGAGCATGAAAGGGGCATTTCAGCTGAGAAAATTAAAAGTGACTGAATTGGCTGACAATGCAAAGTAATATTAAATATTCTCTATGTTTAAATAATATATTGTATTGCTGCAAAATCGTTGCACAATTTGCAAAATGAGGCAATGCCTGCAAGCTAGTTCAGGCGCTGCAATGATTTCACACTTCATTCTCAACTATCACCTGACAACACCTTCTTCCAATTAGCGGCCTATTTAAGCTGCAAGATTTCTGCTCTCTCCCTTTGCCCCTTCATTGCCAGCTCTGGCCTTCCACCAATTCTGGTGGGGGGAGGTTAAAATGTTATCCCATCACTCCTCAAATTCCTGCATATAAATTAAAACTGTGAGGAGTGATTAGGTCGGAGCCTAGACGCCAAACACAAACTAGATTCATGTGTCACTGTGACATAAAGAAATGCATGGGCAGTTCTCCTGTACGTCTCTAAAGCATCTTAGAGACTCACTGGTTGTCTCTCTTTGTCATTAGTTGATCACTCAGACCAGCCTGGACACGGACAAAGCCTCTGAATCCCAGGATGAGTGCGTGCTGAAGACAGAAGGACTGTGGGGTGGAGATGTCCCAGCAGTCTGCGGTCATCTCAGTGAGGCTGAGAATCAGAGCTCGGACTCTGCCAGGGAAAACATAGAGGCTGTGAGGTAGGTTTTTCTATTCTTAGTCGGCTCCCTGGTACACACTGAGAAACACACACTGGACCCCGGGGGGAAAGCAGTGTTATGGCAATGAATGGGACTGCTATGACCCGGCCTCGTTCAGTTAGCTCAGATATTTCCTTAAATGTCTTGGACAGAATTATCTCTGTAGGCTGCTGATGGGAATGAAGACAGGCCTTATGTGGGTTTAGACACTCGGCATAGAGAGAGGATGACGGTTATAGACATTAATGTGGCTGAATGTATTAATTAATACGAGAGCGTTCCATAATGTTTATGCTCGACAAAGAAATCAAAGCTATAATCGTTCAGACTTTTACACATCAAACCCTATTCTGTTACATTCTGTTATCTCACGATATTAAAGTAGTTTTCATGTTTTTATTATGCCAGTATTTTTCCATTCAAGGGGAATTTGCATTCGCACACAAGTGATTAAGCAAGAATTATACGTGCAGGACTGCTCGGATGTGACAGAGCATTTGTTTCTAAGTTCAGTGTTTTGTCATACTGTGTTGGAGCTAAACAGGACACGATTCATAGTGTGAATACATTTCTTTTTTTATCTCCAAATACAAAAAAACAACACACTATCCTTTCTGTATGTTTTTTTTTATTCTATATCAAGTATAGAAAAAACATGTTTTTAGTACGGGAAAGCACAGTCAAGATATATATATTTTTAAATACAATGCTTTGTGCACTTTAAAAAAATGTGTTATCCATGCATACAAGCCTTTATGAGGAAGTAGATACATACAATACTGTAGACCATGGACTGTATATAAACAAGAACGTAGTCTCAGTGACATCACCCATTGATGCCTGAAGAGGACTTTTGAAGCCAAACATTGTTGAAAATGCTACCTTAAGTAACTTTTCATGAATCTAGTAACAGACCAGATTAATCAGAGGTGGAGCTGCGACAGTAACTTAGCATCCTGGTAAACAGCTGAAACACGCCGGCCAGTCAGTCAAATCAGCCACTCCCCGAATATGCAAATATGCTTACATCTTTGGCTAGATAAAATCAAAACGGATAAGTGATTAAAAATATAGCAAATGTAGAGAGCTGGTTTATACAGGGTCACAAACCTCCTCTGGTGCTTGATTCATGTTATATTTTGACCAAAGCACAGCACAGATGTTTCATTTAGACCACGGGGGACTGTTTGAAAAGGTGGAGAAGGGGGATAATATGTCCTCTTTAAATCAGGTTGTAAATAAAAAGACAAAGACATCCTCTTTTAAAAAAATGTCAGGAGGATTAACACTTACTTTACTCCAGTGTATGGATGAAGTTATCAAAGAGTACACACATTCCCTCAAATTTTGTGATGATGAACAAGACTAAATGGATGAAAAATTAAAAGCATATAAAAGCCTAACATGTTACCTCCCTCTCTTCCTGTGGTGAAGAGAGAACAGGCACACTTTGAGCTTCCAGGAAGTTGCTTTTTAAATGTTCAAACTTCTCATTTCTGGAAGAAGTCCAAAGATCCTGAAGTATTCAAAGTATTTATATAAAGCATTTATAATGGATGGCTTCTTCTTCTGCACTTCCTGAGTCTGCTCTCTCTCTCTCTTACTTATCTAAAGGAGTTTTTTTTTGTTTTTTGCTTTTCAGGATTGACTCCAGCAGACAAGATGAAATCCAGATCCCTCCAGTCCTGCGTCACAGAAAGGGGGCTCGCCTCACAGAGGTGGGTTTTTATTGTGGACATATCGCTGCGCTTGGATAAATATTCTCTCTGACACTGTACACTCAGAATGTTTGCTTTGTACCTTTTTCCCACACACAGAACAATCCGACTGCTGTTGGGACTGCAGAAAGGAAAAACGCCGACAACAGAGAACCCGCTGTTTGGTAATAACTTTTCTCTCGTTGCTTTTGTTGGTGTTTTTTATTTTTTATTTTTTAGATCATTCAAGTCGACGGTAATAATCTTCCTTTAACTTTAAAAGAGATTTGTCGATATTAAAACTCCTCAGCTTTCACAAGAAGAACAGTCTCTGCTTGGAGGTGGTGACACCACTTGGTAGTTATAGTCTCTTAATTTGTGTGTGTGTGTGTGTGTGTGTGTGTGTAGGTGGAGTGACGGCTGGGAGCTGTACCTGCTGCTGCTGCTGTGGCTGCTGCTCTACTGTTTCTGGCTGCTGCCTCAGATGGACCTGAAGTCACTGCCCAGCCTGCTGCTCAACCTCTGAACACACACACACTCTCTGCTCACACATGAACACAAACAGACTCTACACACACACACACACACACACACACATACACACATTTTATACACCGTTGAATGCACCATCAGGAGACCAACAGATCCACAAACTGACACAGCTCTACTGCCACTCCTGTTTCCTTTCATCACACTGACTGAACTCCAGATCAAGTGAAGGCATTTACAAAAACGTGTATTTTGAACTATTAGAGCTTTTTTAGGTTGTTGCTTTCAAGCTTTCCATGTGGCTTAAAGTGATCTGTGTGACGACGTGTCAGGGCCACTGCTGGGGAAGAGAGTTTTCAGATTTTAAGAAAAAAAATTGGGATATTTTGAGAGAAAGAAAAGTGCATTATGTAATGGCCGTAACATTATTTTCTTACAAGACACAAAGGGCTTACTAGTATAATTTTCACGTATGCACAAAATTTCAAGCAGGCTGAAATCTTCCTGAGTTCATTGTTAACACATGCACCTCAGAGCAGGAAGCAGTCCCTCAGGAAGGTCTCAGGAGGGGAGACGTGACGTAAAAAGAACGGAGATCACTCTAATGGTCATCACCCCCCTTGCTTGCCTGAATTGAATTTTCCTGAATATTTTCTTACTGCATGCTCTCACAGGCTCATCCTGACTTCAGGATGAAAAATATCCTGACTTCAGGATGAGCTGTCCTGACATCCTGATTTCGGAGAATTGATCGTGGGGCTGTCAGGAAAATTCTGTGTATAGTTAGGGTGAAATATTGGGCTGTTTGTGTTCACACATGCAGCTCAATCTGAAAATTATCAGAAAGCTTTCAGGAGTTTTGTGCAAGTGTTAAAGCACTGTTTTAACGTTCTTTTCAGGATAGTAATAGAACGTACAGTTTTAATTTCATAAGAAAGAAACAAGTATTTTTCAAAGGTTTAATCGATTGCCAAGTATGGTCATGATTTTATGTAAAGGAGGAAGAGTCAAAATGTGTTGAGATGAAAGTTTTTTTTTATTTGTTTGGAAAAAAGACTAAAACGTTGTGAAAGTTTTAGCTTCAAGTTTACAGAAAAGAATCACCTCAGACTTAAAATGATACAGATGGATTCATTCATAAAGGACAAATCTTTAACATGAAAATACATATTTTTCAAGAATAAGAAAAAAAAATATATTTAAAGAGATAATTTAGACCTGCTTTGATTTTTTCATTTAAATAACAACTGCATCACTTGATTTTAACAAGTATGACATAGGGTTAGAGTTATACACAAAGACCGTAAATATTAATGAACGAAGCCTGAGTGACGTCAGCCGTCTGTGCTCTGGAGGCAGATGCGGCCATGATGGAAATGCTGTCTCAGTCTAACTTTCAGTCAACCTAACGACAGGCTGAGAGCTGGAGCTGAGGCGGGTTTAAAGCCTCTTTAAACATTGCGCCCACCTGTCAATCAGGTCATCTACACGCCTAACTATGAATAACAAGTATTGTTTTCAAAATCAAAACAAAGCTGTTTTAAAAAATGTACAGTATGTGCCAGTGATGACAATTACTAATCAGACTTACTTAGTTTTTGTACCAGGCTGTAAACATGTTAATTTATGCTGTGAAAACATATTTTTTGAATGGGTGTGTATGTGACTTCCGGTGTTCCTTGATCCAGCCTCTAGTGAACACTCGACCAACTGCAGTCTTTTCTTAACATGAAGATTTATTTTCTTAAACCAGTGCCACGTTTCTCTAAATACTCCCCCCCCCCCCCTCCATTCTTAAACTCCGCTCACAGTGGCCCTGACAGTCCGCTGCAGATCTGCTGCTTGTTTAAACACGCTATAAGAGTTTGTGGTTTATTGCCGTGCAGAGCCGACACCAGAGCGGACTCTGGATTATATTATCTGACTGTACAGCACTCTCGTGTAGATAGAGATACATATTACGGATGTACGGATGCACAGTTGCCTAAACGAAAAGCCATTTGAACCCAGATGAAGAAGCTCAGAGTCAAACTGGAGATAGAGGAGATGATAGAGCTTATATATATATATATATAGATATAGTTACCTGTTCTGTTGTAAAGAGGACTAATCAGTCTGAATGAAGGTGTATGTTTAATGTGTTGCACATTTGAAAAAGATTACAAACTGCCAAAGATCGTGTTGAAAGTGCTAAACCTGAACTCACACAGCTCACCACAAGCCCGATAACGAAGTTTTTAACACGTAGAAGGTCGAGAAGAACTCTCCATGTTGTACGATAGTCGAGGCAGAATATGTATTTGTATTATTTTACGGCTCATAAGACACGTGAATGGATTTTTATGATGTTTTATGTGATCGGCTATGCTTGAGCTCGTCCACGGAAAGAGAATGCTTTACAATGAAATATCTTTATAAATGTTATTTTTGGAACGACGTCTGTTATGAAGCACTACGACGCATCGACTCGACCTTATTACATCGTTGTACCACACCAGCCAACCAAGTCTCTGTTTACCCTGAATATGAGCTGCAGACACTCAGTCTAGTCCAGAACAAAGTGGGTCGTCCTCTCAGCCCAGTGCATCAAGCTCTGTGTGTGTGTGTGTGTGTGTGTGTGTGTGTGTGTGTGTGTGTGTGTGTGTGTGTGTGTGTGTGTGTGTGTGTGTGTGTGTGTGTGTGTGTGTGTGTGTGTGTGTGTGGTGTGTGTGTGTGTGTGTGTGTGTGTGTGTGTGTGTGTGTGTGTGTGTGTGTGTGTGTGTGTGTGTGTGTGTGTGTGTGTGTGTGTGTGTGTGTGTGTGTGTGTGTGTGTGTGTGTGTGTGTGTCCTTGTGTCCTTGTGAGAACTAGAGCTCTGTCCCAATTCCATACTACTCACTCCTTGCAAATACGATCCCAGGCCCCGTTTTTTTTATTCATTAACAAGAAGAGATATTCCCTTCTGCTCTAGTGATCTAGTCTAGTGAATTTTGTCTCGGACTGGGCAAACTCCAGTTTTGAAATCAATACCATCACTGATTGGCTATTTTAACGTCATTACTGTGATTAGATGGAAAACCCCCCTGTAAAACATTTCTAAAAGAACCATTAACTTCATTTCATTCCCGGTTACGGCTGCTACCTTCCCGGTGTTACGGTCTAAGTGAGGGACACAAGATGATGATTTGTCTTTGATATTTCTGGTCTTGGTCTTGTCTCAGTCCCGCCTTGCCTTGGTTTTGGTCTTGACTCAGTCTCGATCCCTAAATGTACTGGTCTTGTCTCGATCTCTGAGCAATCCGATAATGGGTATGTCTTGGTCTCAGTTACTGTGGTCTTGAATACAGCACTAGCAAAAACTAAAGATCTTAGCAAGTGTGTTCGTCTAAACTCGAGTCAAAATGTCTCAGATCACTTATAATCAGCAACATCTACCTGACAAGTCCAGATAAACATTTTACTTAATGACAGAAATAGCAGAAAATAAGACCATGCCTTTGTTTGTAATAAGTACAAAGAATATCTGCCAATGAGGAAAGCACATTTAATTGTTAGGTGGCTTTAAATGAGATGTACGAACTACTTTTGATGAAGAAAATTATATCAAGACACAGGCAGATTGTTTTTTTATTATTATTATTATTACAAGCCTTCATTTTTGAGTTTTATATTTTTGAGTAAGGTTTGAATCTGGACTTGACGGGAAAATGCAGTTTATAATAAGTGCACTGAGATATTTTTGACGAGAAACTAAACTAACAAAATTGTAAAGAATTTAGTTTTTTGCAGTGTAGAAGTTAATCAATTTTTATTTGAATGTTTATCCCATGCATTAGTTGTTTTTATTTTTGTCACGTTTTACTAAGTAGATATATGGATAAAAAACTTTATTGATCCCGAGGGAATCTGGTTGAATCTGGTCCAAATTTTAACACGATTCTCTTTGCAGTGATATAGCCTTCAACAAAGTTTTATGAAATTTGAATTAGAGCAGTGTTTTGTTTCTTTCTTTCGTCCTTAACAGATCGTTCTTAACAGATCGTTCTTAACAGAGGTGATAATCAGGTCTGACTTTAAGCAAAGCTAAATTGATTCTTCGAGTAGAAACATCGAAGATTTAAATGTTAGTTTAAGGGCTAAGAGTTCATGAGAGAGGGGGAGTAGTTTGAGTTTTTACAAGGATTTAGTAGACTGTTTGTGTGGTCATGTTTGTGTGTGTGTATGTGTGTGTCCCCTGTGTCCATGACCACAGAACCATACCAGCCCCCCCCCCCCCCCATCAAAACAATGGAAGGACTTACCCAATAAAAGCATCTTAGCTTTTGTATCAGAGCCTGATGGATTCAACTGAACCAGTCAAGTGCAATAAACGACGTGTTTTAAACCCTTTGTCTCTTGTTGTGTCTGTTCCTTTAAAGTTATTTAAATATAGGTCTTTATAAATGAAATCCTTCTTCCTCATCAAGCACTGAAGGCCCATAGAAGCGGGGCATGTGGACAGCACAGTTAATAGATGGATGGACTTCATAGATCAACTGGTTACATTCAGTCATGTGGATGTTTGGAATAATGATCAATAAGCTGTGCTGCATCATTAATTGTTAAAGTGCAATATAGAGTGAATGTAAAATGCTTCTACTTTCATTTGATGGCCTCAATAGTCTTAACCACATCTAACTTTACATCAATGCAGCATAGGGAAACTGATGATGCAGCAATGATGTGCAAAGATCTTTTTCTTGTTCTGTGTGTAAAAAAAAAAAAAAGTTAATCCCATTTAGTTAAATTTGCTCCATCAGGTCTATTTTGCATGTTTTTAATTGGCCACAAATACAGGTCAGCATCATTTTATGAGGTGATGCTGCCATCTACTGGACATCATGTAACACAGTCATCTTCACCCTAAAGCTGTAAAGTTTTCTGATCACTCTGGGCTTTTTGATTTTACATACTGAACATGCTAGTTTAGGAAAAACTTATATAATTGATCTGCAGACATAAATTGAATGTAACTTTAGGTTATAATGTCTTGATAGTGTGTTGATCGTCCTCAAAACTTTCACTCAATATTTCTTAAAGATACAATTCCTTCAAACAAGGACAAATAATGAAAATACGCTTTGAGCTTCTCCATTTTATTAGGTTTTGCAGGCTTCAGGTTTGAATTTTAACTTTGGAAATTCTTGTTTCCACTCTCTTATTGAGAGAGATTGTGTTTTGCTTTGAGTAATAGATGTGCCATTGTAATTTTTAAAGGGGACATATTATGAAAAATCCACTTCTACAGTGTTTTTGAACATATATTTGTGTAACCTGAGTGTTTACAATATGTGCCCACAATATGTGAAATAAACCCATCCAGTTCTTTGTTTGTGGTCTGCATAAGTCTTACAACACAGACAAAAAGCTCCGTTTCAAATGTGCTCTCCTTGTGATGTCACAGTGGGATTCTGGTAAAAAAAAAAAATCCCCTCTTCTCCCTTGGTATTTCCACACATGGACTCCACCCCCAGCCTAGAACAAAACTTTTGCGCAGGTCCGCCATTTGTATTCTCGCTAGTTAAGAAGTGATGTCTACCTGGAAAACTCAGGGGGGCTCATTGTATTTAAAGAGACACACACACCAAAACGGAACGTTCTGAGAGAGCTGGTTTATACAGGGTCACAAACCTCCTCTGGTGCTTGATTCATGTTATATTTTCACCAAAGCACAGCACAGATGTTTCATTTAGACCACAGGGGGACTGTTTGAAAAGGTGGGAAAGGGGGATAATATGTCCTCTTTAATATTTACAATACAGCATATTATTAAGTATGACATTTTGTGCATGCTCTCTTACTGACTGTCACCTGCAAAGATGATGGAACAGAGTCTGTTTTTACTATAAATGGTAGGCGTACAATTTTAACATGTTTTAAAGCTGTATTGTTTTTTTTGGATGGCATCCCCCGACCCCCGACCCCCACTTTAGGAACCACTCCACCGCTTCTAGACAGCTCTTTACGCAGGACAGGGATTCACGTCCACTGTAGTGAGTGTGGCGTACAGTTACGTAGTTTACGTAGATCTGTGCGTAGCAGCAGAGGCCCGTCGGAGAGGAAGTGGTCCCACCGTGGACGATTAGCCACCAAATCTAGACAGCATTAGTGAATGGCAACGAGGAGAGAACACAGGTCATTTTAAGCGACACAATCAATAGAGAAACGCACAACAGGTGAGATTATTTACAGAATTACATGACTCATATTTTCTAGTTTATCGTAACTCTGCTGAACGTGCTGGCCGTGCTAGCTATCGGCTAACTTAGCTAGCATGCTACAGGCTAGCTCAGCACTGACATGGTGGCTGTCTAGACGTTGTGTGGCAATACACGATGTGTGATTTGTGTGAAGCCATGTTTCTCTTTATAATTAACTCAGATAAGCTCCAGGTTAGCCTCCACATCAGCCTGGTGAACACCTGGTGAACACCTGGTCCTAGACAGGCGCGATGCTAGCAGGTGAAGTTACCCTGTTGAATATGCGAGAGGGTCTGCGACTCTTGTATTAGATTTTAAAAAGCAATCAGAGGCAATGTGGCTACTTAATGTTTGCAAATGAATTCATTACAGCTGAGCTAATTGGACGTGAATCATCTAATTTTTCCACATGACTGGGCTTCTGTGTTCTGCTAAGCTAACGTCACGGTTCAGAAACAGGTAATGTCAAAGACCTTGAGAGGTTTTGATTCATTTTTAATCAGACACCTCCAGACGTTTGATGAAGATGCGTTATTGTTAATGTTTTATTGTTTGGTTGACTATAAAAGCTTGGCAGGGATGAAGCTGCTAACCTGCTAAGGAGCTAATGCTACCCAGTCAGCATGGTCTCTGGCAGCAGGTTTAACCTCATCATGAGCTGAAAGCTTTTACTTTACCAATCAAGCTGATGATGTTGTTGTTGTTGTTGTTGTAGTAGTACGGATGACAGATGCCTGTGTGTTTTGAACTGGCTGCTGAAGAGAGTAGGTGTGAAATGTCACACTGCCCTGAGGTCAAAGAGTTAATGAGTGTCACTAACTGCTGGATGTGATGCAGGGATCACTGTGGCTGAAGCTCTGAACATTGTGTTCTGCACAGACACTCTCTCTCCTCTCTGTCAGAGAGGCTGCAGGACTGTGGGACAATGGCAGATGTGTTGGCCTGTCACTGTGAGCTCACAAGTGGGGCACATTCAAAGCCGGTCAAAATTGATCGTAGCATCTCTAGAATGAATCCATTAAATTGTCTCAATGGATCAAAGAGGCAAAGCACAACATTGAGGGCAGTTCTTGAGCGCTCTAATCAGTATAGAAACCATCTTATAAGTCATCATTATCAAACAAAAACCATCATCATCATCAATAATATGGAGACCATCATCATTAAGTTAGTAGGTATATATGGAATCTTCAGTATTTTCCAACCTGTGATTTGAGTGGATCATCACAGTTTCTTCTGCAACTCTTGGCAGCTTTTGGTTAAAATTAAAGCTGAAGATGTGCAGTGTATTAAAGCTTTGTTACCTTTTGATGCTATCGATCATTAAAATAAAGGAGATCGTCAAGTGTTTTTAGAACGCATGCTATCACAAAGTATCGACAACCTTATTTCTTACTGCTAAATATTTCTGTAACTCTTCCTGTACCCAACACGGTAACATAAACAGGCTCAGTATGCTAAGACTTCAGCTCTACATTTCTAAACAGGAAGTGACTTTGGTGTCTAATCTTTGCAAGAGATAAAAAAAAAAAAAAAAAAAAATCACATCCAGGCCAACTGATAAGCTCTCATGCATATTATCTGTTTGGTAAGTCATCCAGGGAACAAGATACCGCTCGAGCACAAGGACTGATATCCGTCCTGTCACGCTGTTTTTTGAATTACGAGCAAATCTGATCTGCTGAATTATCGTAAAGACTTGTGTTTTCTGCATCAACGTCACTGCTGGTACGTCGGTCTTCAGTGGATTCTTGTGTTCTTGAACGCTCTGGGGATGAAGGCGCCCAGCTTCACTCCCTTTTGCTCACCTTCATGAGCACCTGGCACCCAGCAGAACCTCACCTTCTCTTTTCGCTCTCTGTGTTTGCAGAACTGCAGGCCTCAGTGAAAATCCCAGCCACTTTCCATTTGTGCAAAAGGTGAGAGCTTTGACTTTGTAGCATTGCAGTGCTGTAATAGTTTAAGTTGTCTCTGTGAAGGCCAAACTTGATTGAATGCTTCCTCCACATATTGTAGTCAGTGGGATTATAAAAACATTCTTATGTAGGATCTAGTTTATGAATATGATTCATCCGCCTTAATCAGCCATTTCTCACTTCTTTCTACAGTAAAGATAACGCTCTGATTGTGGCCTTTGTCTAAATTACATGATGTTTTTTTCTTGTTTTGTCAGGCGTCTTTCTGCCTAAATGAGGGGAAGCATCAGGTGTTGATAAAGAGAAGATTTATCATGAAGCCCAGATTAAGTTTTGTCTACATATCCAGAAAGTCTCACTTTTTACCTGTAAGTATACTAATGCCTAAGACTCTTAACTTCATTCATTCCCTTTAAGCACATCTCGCCTCGAGTTCTGAAAAGCTCAGAGTTAGCTCTTCTCTTACATTAAGGGGGCATTCACACGAGGCCCAGTTACTCCGTACTGTGCTGAAGCACGATTGTCCCCCCTCCTCAGTCCCTCACTAACCTGCACTCACACTGCTGCTGAGCATGGTTACCTCTTGTACATACATTATCACCATACCTGTAGTCCTCTGGGAGCACACTGGAACAGCACTCCTGGACTTTTTTCTCCTATTAAGGGAGGGAGGAAATAGAATATTTGCAGTTTGCATAATCCGGTTCAAATTCATACAAGCGCTTCAAGATCTGATCATCACTTAAGTGAAGCCCTATGTCATCCAAGAGAGATCATAAAGACAACAACAGTAATCAACTTAAACACATTAAAGGGGGCTTGATTGATTCATGACATCAGCTCATTTGCTGAGTAACATGGAAGAAGAGCACTTCCCGTAGCTGTCAAATAACGGCCATAGACTGTATGATGGCGGCTGCAGCACGGTGAAATGTCTCTGGTCTTTTAATTGACAACTACTCATAGAAACATGGCTGCAGCTTTACTAGATACAAGTTTTTGTGGCTGTTGTTGAGTCGTTTTTGGTAAGTGACGACCCACTTACACTCCTGGACTTCTCGATAATGCAAGACCTAAGATCGATTATACGTTTGGTCCAGGCTGCATTCCCGTGATTGTGCTCGTGCATGAACATCTGTACCCTGCTGAAGCACAGAGCAGAGGGAGTGTAGCATGCCAAAGCCCGGTACAGACTACGGAGCTCTCACTCTACTCAAATGAACTGGACTTAGGGCGTGAAACGTGCTTGGGCACGGTATGAATTCCCTCAGATACATTCAAGATGGCAGCACAGATGGTCTCTGTGGTGTGTTGATGCCCATTGTTATGGCTCTCTTCCATGACAGTTACTGTATGCATGTTATATAATGTGTTTTTTATGTTGTTATTGTTCACTATTCTGTTTTCATACCTTGACGCTATTCCTGTGTTCTCTATTTTGCGCATGGTAAATTCCTTTTTTCTGAGTCTGACTTTTAAAAAATGAGTGGGCGAGGTTCTTAGCTGCAGCTTGTTATCTGATTTAAGCCCAGAACTTGACCAGAGGCCAGCCATGTGAGGCTTCTAGGAAAGTAATCGTTGTATTGCTGTCTTTGATGACCTCTGTAGCTTAGTCAGAGCACCTCAGTCCTGAAAGAGAGCTCCAAACTAACGCTTCTTCTGCTCCTAACGAGCTGTGTTTAATGTCGTTTTAATGTTTAAGTTAGACATCAAACAAAGCGATTCATTGTAACGTATTGTTATCTATAGGGCTGGGCGATATGACCTCAAATCAATATCACAATTAATTGAACGTTTAAGCTCGATTACGAGCGATTATTTTGTTTTAGTTTTTTGCCCTCATCGTTCACTGACATGGTCTCTACTGTAAATATGCTCCACTATTAAAGCGGATATGTTTTTTAATGAAAGAGAGCATATCTAAAGAACTATCTTCTGGTTATTTATTGAATATTTCAAACCGAAATCAAAGCATCACTTGAAATGAAACGACAAAGTTTAGATTTTAAGTAGAAATGTACTTCTCTAAAACAGTAGAAGATAAATAACTTGCATTTCTTGCAAATTGTTTTTCCGCAGTGTTTACATTTGACTCATTTTTTTTTTTCGGCGTCGTCTTCCCTAAAGACAAAATGTGTTCAAACAACGAACATTTCTTCCATCCGTCCAGATTGTGAATCTGCCCTGAAAATAATCCACATGGGCAAGATAACGTCGGTTAGAGGTTCTGAATGTTGGTTTTTATTAATTTTCGTTAATTACTTTATTAATTTATTAATTTCCCTGCCCTGGTTAGCTACCAAACTTGTTAACTGATTAAACCCAGCTGTCCCAGGCTTTGCATTGTGACGTTCAACTCCCTTTTCAATGCTGCAGGTTGCTGCTTGTGTTTGATTTGTGGTTTTCACCTCTCTGCGTGGAGACAAACTGTAGTTTCTGATGTCTTCACACCATGCAGTCAACATCTTCTCTGTTCTTTACCTCCAGTGAACTCGTGACAGGAGAGGATGATGATATGAGATAAAGTGGACGACTGGAGGAGCCCAGTCCCCTCACCTCCACCTCTTTTGAAGAATGGCAGGCCTACAGCTTGTCACCCCTGCCACTTCACCCATGGGGCCTTTCTTTGGTCTGCCGTGGCAGCAGGAGGCGATCCACGATAACATCTATACACCTAGGAAATATCAGGTGACGGTGTTTACCAGCTGCTTCATGTGTTGTATATAACACACTGGCTGTTCTCATGGAAAGGTCGTTTGTGATTGTTTCGTTTTTATTTGTGACGGGGTCCTTTCGTCCACTCAGTGACCGTGATCTGACCCTCCCTCCACAGGTAGAACTTCTTGAAGCAGCTCTTGAACATAATACTATCGTCTGCTTGAATACTGGCTCAGGGAAGACCTTTATTGCAGTACTTCTAACGAAAGAGCTCTCCCACCAAATCCGGGGACGCTACCAAGAAAATGCGAAGAGGACAGTTTTTCTGGTGAACTCAGGTACCTGCAGAGCTTTAGTTGTGCCACAGGGACAGCTTTCATTGTTTTCAAATGTCATTGTTTGTTTATGTTAAGCTGCATGGATTGATTTAACTTCCTTTTTTTCCTCCGTTCCACATTGTCCAGCTCTGTCTGTAGTTCAGCAGGCAGCCGCAGTCCGGACTCACTCAGACCTCCAGGTGGGAGAGTACACAGATTTAGAGGAGACCTCATCATGGACTGACCAACAGTGGAGTCAGGAGATAATCGAGAATCAGGTGAGTTGATCCATCTCGTAACTTATTTTCCTTATCTTTCTTCATGAGTTACTCAAGCTTCATACACGAGTCTGCAGTTTTAAGACTAACCTCAGGGTAGAGCTGGTTTAATCAATGTAACTTGGCTCTCTTAGCTTTGCTACGTCACCTGCTGTGATGACAGAAAGGAGGGTGAAACATAAAAAAAAAAAACATAAAAGTACCGCTGATGAAGACCCCCGCCCGATTGCCGCCCCTTGTGTCATTCTTTGGGAAACACTGGTCACCGTACCTTATATTCTTATGCATGAGTTCCACATACACTCATAGTCAGACATGCACGCACACACATAGCTGTCTTACTCTGCTCGATACAGTCTTTGCCTCTGTTACTACCTCTGTAGCCGGTAGATTAGGGGATTAGTTTGTCCCCCCCCCCCCCCATTATGTCTCTGCAACATTCATAATGAAGGCAAAATGTCACAGGGGCGTAAATATCAAGCTATGAAACGGCAGTGTGAATGGGGCTGTTGTGATCACTGACTTACACATGAAAGAATTAAATTCCACATTAACATCTTGCTTAAATTCCAGCTAAGTTTTTGACCACCGCAGTTCCTCCAACAACTACATTTTACTGACTACTTGAGATCCGTCTGCTTTACTGTTTCAAAGCAGCAGCCCTTGTTAGGAGCTCCTTTATCATCAGGGTCATGTGATGCTGAATCAAGCCGTCCTCTGTGATGAGAATAACGCTCTCCCTTGTCATCCTTGACGTTCTCTCGCGCAGGTGTTGGTCATGACGTGCCACATGTTCCTGCACGTTCTGAGGAATAAAATCTTACAGTTATCTAAAATCAACCTGGTGGTTTTCGATGACTGTCACCTGGCCATCACAGACCACCCCTACTGTGACATCATGAAGGTGAGAGTGTGGAGGATGAATGAACAGATGAACAGATGTCTGAGTGAACTGTAAATGACGCCTGTTCTCTCCTCTGTGTGTGTGTGTGTGTGTGTGTGTGTGTGTGTCTGCAGCTATTTGAGGGCTGCTCAGGGAGCTCTCGTATCCTGGGCCTGACAGCTTCTATTCTGAACGGAAAGTGTGACCCGTCAGAACTGGAGCACAAGATCCAGAACCTGGAGACGATCCTGAAGAGCAACGCGGAAACTGCCACTGACCTCGTGGTCCTGGACAGGTAATACAAGCTTTCATTTACGGCCTGGACCAGAGCTGAAGTCGTACTTCTGTGCCTCGCTTCGTTCAGTTACAGCTAAACTTGGTCCCTGATAAATCTGTTTAAAGCACCTGTGCACTGTGTGATATTTCAGGTACGCCTCTCAGCCCAGAGAGGTGGTTCTGGACTGTGGTCCCTACATGGACAAGAGCGGCCTCTCCTCCAGGCTGCAGGAGGAACTCGATGATGCTCTCCACTTCCTGAACGACTGCAACGTACCTGTTGCCAGAGAGGATCGCGACCCCACATTCATCTCTAAACAGGTTAGTAAAAAATGTGAGGAATTCTGGGAGTGGGTTTTTGTTTGTTTATGCAGAACAGTGAAACTGAGCGCTGTGTGTGTGTACTATGGTCATTACTCAGGACTGTTGTATTTTTTATTTTTATCATACCAAATGTAAAACTGAACATCCCTTAGATTCAGACTCAACTTCCTGGTCAACAGGATAGACCTTGACCAGCGACATCTGGGTCTAAAGATAATATCAATTACATTGTTCTGACAATAACGACTTTCAGCTTTAAGGCGCTTTTATTAGAGGTGGGACTGAAGATCTACGGCAATATGTCATTGTCCTGAAATGATCGCATCCCATTTGCAAGATTTTGGATATTATCATGCAAAAAAAGTACAGCCCTCTAGAATTATTTTTCTAGCAATTTGACTCATTGTGTTACCACTTCATTTTTACTTCCTGTGGTGATTTTTACACAAATGAGGGTATCTGTACAGGTCCTGAGTGACTGCCGGGCCGTGCTGATGGTGCTGGGACCCTGGTGTGCAGACAAGGCGGCAGGCATCATGGTGCGGGAGCTCCAGAAGTACATCAAACACGAACAGGAGGAGCTGAGCCGAAAGTTTCTACTCTTCACCGACACCATCCTGCGCAAAGTGCACGCGCTCTGCGAGGAGCACTTCTCCCCCGCCTCGCTCGACCTCAAGTTCGTCACCCCCAAAGTCCTCCGGCTGCTCGAGATCCTGCACGAGTACAAGCCCTTCGAGCGGCAGCAGTTTGAAAGCGTGGAGTGGTACAACAACCGCAACCAGGACAACTACGTGTCCTGGAGCGACTCGGAGGATGAAGACGAGGACGAGGAGGTGGAGGTCAAAGAGAGGCCTGAAGCCAACTTCCCCTCGCCATTTACAAACATCCTATGTGGGATCATCTTTGTTGAGAGGAGATACACCGCTGTGGTCCTCAACCGGTACGCCTCTGATATTTTTTTGTATTCTCTGAACTACTACACTGCTAGTTGTTCTGACATCCATGTTGACCTTTTAGAAACTTTCTGTGGTTTGGTGTGTTTTTGTCAGTCTGATCAAAGAGGCGGGGAAACAGGACCCGGAGCTGGCTTACATCAGCAGCAACTTCATCACCGGCCACAGCATCGGCAAGAACCAGCCGAGGAACAAACAGATGGAGGTGGAGTTCAGAAAACAAGAAGAGGTAAGATATCTGACTTGATATGTTAATGATACATTTTTTAAATGTATTTTTAAAAAAATTTTATGCTATAATTGTAGAGACAGGACAGTGGATGGAGTCAGAACGTGATCATGAAGCGTGCTTAGTTTACAAGACAATGCTGATTGATAACTTTTGTTGATGTGGGTGTGAGTCAGTTTGCATAAATGAATAACCAGGGTCCCCTCTGACCATGATAAGAACATTGGGAAGGCTTTAAAATTGGTGTGGGGATCCTTTGTAAAAGCCCTATTGTCCTATATGATGTCAATTTTATACTCTAAGGAAATAATTTAATTTCATGAGTTCTGAAGTGGCGCTTAATTTGCCCTTTTTGTTGTCTTACAGGTTCTACGTAAATTTCGCGCTCATGAAACCAACCTGCTGATCGCCACCAGCATCGTGGAGGAAGGCGTGGATATCCCAAAGTGTAACCTTGTGGTGCGGTTCGACCTGCCCACAGAGTACAGGTCCTACGTCCAGTCCAAAGGCCGGGCTCGAGCCCCCGTCTCCAACTACATCATGCTGGCTGACAGTGAGAGGACCAAATCCTTCGAGGACGATCTCACCACCTACAAGGCCATAGAGAAGGTGACTGTTTCTCTGTGTCTCGTTTGATTCAGGTTATATTTTCTTATTTTTATCATATTAACAGAGCTTTATTAGGTAGTAACGATGATGTCATGCTTTTAGATCTTAAGGAACAAATGCTCCAAGTCGGTGGAGGTGAGCGAGTTTGAGGTGGAGCAGGTTCTAGACGATGACAACATCCTCCCTCCCTACGTGCTGCGATCTGAGGATGGAGGTCCGCGGGTCACCATCAACACAGCCATCGGACACATCAACAGGTAATAAAAGCATCTGCAAAGTTAATGAACCAATCACAGCTCTGGGGTAGCCTTTTTTAAGCGTTGTTTTATTCTCTGGTGCTCAGGTATTGCGCTCGACTGCCCAGTGACCCGTTCACACACTTGGCTCCAAAATGTCGAACAGCGGAGACGCAGAACGGACGCTTCCAGTCCACGCTCTACCTGCCCATCAACTCACCCCTCAGAGTTCCTATCAAGGTGAGGAAGAACATCTACAGTTGAATCATTTTGAAGGTTGAATCCAGAATGAGTTGTTTCCCTAATTTGCAAATTTGCACATTTCATTCGTCCACACAAGCAGGTTTTTCTTTTTTTAAAACACAGCTTTATTTCCCTGTATTATGACTTCATTTCCACACAAGCTGTTTGCTCAGGCGTACCAGTAATCCAATCAACTAAGATTTCATTTTAAAATCAGCATTCTAAACAACCATGATTTGTATCCATAAGTCAGTGTGGGCGCTTGATGTGAACTCAGTAAAATTTTTGTGTATTAAAGAGGACATATTATGCAGGTGACAGTCAGTAAGAGAGCATGCACAAAATGTCATACTTAATAATATGCTGTATTGTAAATATTAAAGAGGACATATTATCCCCTTTCCCACCTTTTCAAACAGTCCCCCTGTGGTCTAAATTAAACATCTGTGCTGTGCTTTGGTCAAAATATAACATGAATCAAGCACCAGAGGAGGTTTGTCACCCTGTATAAACCAGCTCTCTCAGAACGCTCCGTTTTGGTGTGTGTGTCTCTTTAAATGCAATGACCCCCCCTGAGTTTTCCTGGTAGACATCACTCCTCTGCTAGCGAGAATAAAAATGGCGGACCTGCGCAAAAGTTTTGCTCTAGGCTGGGGGTGGAGTCCATGGGTGGAGATATCAGGGGAGGGGAGGGGATTTATTTTTACCAGAATCCCACTGTGACATCATAAGGAGAGCACATTTGAAAGGTGTTCTGTGTTGTAAGACTTATGCAGACCACAAACAAAGACTGGATGGGTTTATTTCACATTTGTTGGGTCTGTAGACACTCAGGTTACCAAATATATGTTTAAAAACACTGAAGTGGATTTTTCAGAATATGTCTCATTTAAACAAAAATATAGAAGTGTGAATGTAGGCTCAGAATGTTTGAATGTTTGACTCCAAAAATTATTAATTTCTGTCGTTATAAAGTCCGACTTTATTTTAAAGTATTTGAGAAATAAACTCTATGCATGTGGACTTGGTATAACTTATATGATTCTGCTGAAACGGTTATTGTTTTAATCCCCTCCCAGAATGATATAACAACTTCATTGATTTATTCTTGTGTCTTCACAGGGTCCCATCATGAACTGTGCCAGACTGGCAGAGAAAGCTGTTGCACTACTATGCTGTGAGAAACTCCACAAAATAGGTAAAACCAGAGCAGATATTTTTACAGAATCAGAAGGAAGAAGAAACAAAGATGTAAAACTGTGATGTAAAATCTCCCGTGCAGGTGAGCTGGATGATCACCTGATGCCGGTGGGAAAGGAGACGGTGAAGTACGAGGAGGAGCTGGACCTCCACGATGAAGAGGAGACCAGCGTACCAGGCCGGCCAGGATCCACCAAGAGGAGGCAGTGCTACCCTAAAGCCGTAAGAGAACTGATCAGCTATTCATCTGGATCCTGTCCTCTTCAAATGTCTTGTTTCATCCACAACCAAAAGAGAAATCAGATTTGTAGCTCAACTTCCCTCCCCCTGTGTGTCCTCTGTAGATACCAGAGTGTTTGCGGGACAGTTACGCTGTCCCAGAGCAGACGTACTACCTTTATGTGATCGGGATGGTCCTCACCACACCTCTCCCCGATGAGCTTAACTTCCGCAGGAGGAGGCTTTACCCACCTGAGGACACCACCAGGTGCTTCGGCATCCTGACTGCCAAACCCATACCTCGAGTACGTCCACTGGTTGAAGTTTTAAATGATGTCTTTGTTTATATGAACAAAAATATATTGTCCCTTTACTTGTCCTTAAAGTCATCTAATCTTTTTTCAGATCCCACATTTCCCCGTGTACACTCGCTCAGGTGAGGTGACCATCTCCATCGAGCTGCAGAAGTCTGGCTTCTCTCTCACCACCGCCCAGCTTGACCTCATCACCCGCCTGCACCAGTACATCTTCTCTCACATCCTCCGCCTGGAGAAACCTGCACTGGAGTTCAAGCCCACGCTGGCTGACTCGGCGTACTGCGTTCTACCTCTGAATGTTGGTGAGTAGAGTCTCTCTCAGTGAGGCCATGGTGGGTTACCTCCTCCAGACGTGTGCTAACCTTTACTGGTTTTATTGGCTCTCTTCAGTTGGGGACACCGACACACTCGATATGGACTTTACGTTCATGGAGGACATTGAGAAGTCTGAGGCCCGCACTGGCATTCCTACCACTCAGTACACCAAGCAGAACCCCTTCACCTTCAAGCTCGAGGACTACCAGGATGCTGTCATCATTCCAAGGTACAGCTGCACCATTTCAAAGAAACAGAAACAATACCATTACTGAGAAATAATAAAATGCTTTATATTATAGCACATTACAATCTTACAATAACACAAAGAAAGACAAGAAAACTTGTAGTTGTTGTTAATTACAACAGCTGCTAATACCGTCCGGTACAGGCAGGTGATCAATTCAGACATCTTAGAAAGATGTAGTTCCTTACCATTCAATTTATGACAGTTTCTCTTGATCTTCCTCTTTGCTGCAGACAAACTTAATATCTTAATAAACAATAAATAAACATCAGGGTGTCATCAGCGTACAAGGAAATCAGGCTACGTTCTCTGATAATACTCGACAGGAGGACATTTAAAAAAAAAAAAACTCTTCTGGAGAGGCTAATAAAGTTCTCAAAGTGATAAACTCTTGGGCTGCATGTTGACCCCTCACACGGCTTCTCTCTCTCAGGTATCGTAACTTCGACCAGCCTCATCGCTTCTACGTCGCTGACGTGTACACAGACCTGACGCCGCTCAGCAAGTTCCCTTCACCGGAGTACGAGACGTTTGCCGAGTACTACAAAACCAAGTACAACCTGGACCTGTCCAACCTGAACCAGCCCCTCCTGGATGTGGACCACACCTCCTCCAGGTCAGCACCACTGGCTTTTATTTTACTTTTTATTTATCCAATTAAACTAAAACATGACCCATGTGTCATAATGATATAGTGTTTTCAAGTCTCCGGTGATTTCCATCTCTATCTGCACAGTGATTGTCAGGAGCAACAAGTCACTTTGTAACACCGGTGTGAAGTTGATTCTCATATTCTCGCCCTCCTAGACTGAACCTGTTAACTCCTCGGCACCTGAACCAGAAGGGGAAAGCCCTGCCGCTCAGCAGTGCAGAGAAGAGGAAGGCCAAGTGGGAGAGTCTGCAGAACAAACAGGTAACGGCTGCTCCTGTTGTGGCTCCTCTTTTAACGAGTTTCAGCTTTTCCGACCTCACACACATCCTGTGATAAGACAGTCCTGGTCTAAGTGTGTTGTGTGTTTTCAGATCCTGGTTCCAGAGCTGTGTGCCATCCACCCGATCCCGGCCTCCCTGTGGAGGAAAGCTGTGTGTCTGCCCAGCATCCTCTACCGCCTCCACTGCCTCCTGACCGCCGAGGAACTCCGAGCTCAGACTGCGAGTGAAGCTGGAGTTGGAGCTCAGACCCTCCCCCCTGACTTCAGGTCCTTATAACAGCCACTACACAAAACACATGAGTTCAGTGTTTAATGAAAATGATCCACTTAAAGATATTCCATATCCTGAATCATCTTTCCCCTGCACCATTACACTATACTTAAACATGACAGGTGCTCCAACAAAATCAGGTGATTCATGCATAGCTGAAGTAAGTTAAGTTTGAAGTAGATAAAAAGAATATAGGACACCTGCTAAATCTGTAGGAAGCAATAAAGGGATTTACATCCTAATGTGAAGCTGGTTTGTTCTTTTGATGCAGATATCCAAACCTGGACTTTGGCTGGAAGAGATCCATCGACAGCAAAACCTTCATCACCTGCTCTGATTCCTGCGATGAGGATGGTGAGGATGGTGAGGATGGTGAGGAGGATCACTGTACGCACCAAGAGACTGAAACCCCTGACCCTGACCCCCTCACACATCCCAGCAGCCTCCACTCTTCCCCCTCGAAGTCCGGAGACTCCCCCTGCACCAGGAACCTAACCAACGGCACTGCCCAGGTCGCCAACTGTGACGACGACGGCCACCAACACGAGCACCTTCACCAACATGACAATTGCCAACGCTCGCAGCCCGACCCCCCCGGGCTGCAGAGCCCCGAATCAATACAAACCACTACCTCAGTTTCTGTGCAGCCCTCTCCCAGCGTGAAGAAGCCCAGCTCCAGTCCTCCGCAGCCCAGTGATGAATGTACAGCAGGGAGGACCTCAGACCACAAAAATCAAGCTACCTCAGTCAGCAGCCGAGAAGCTACGGGTCCCCACGCTCACACAGCACCTTCCCCTGACCTCCCCGCTGTCCCCCAGCACAGAGCCGAGGCGGGGGACTCCCCTAAAAGCCTGGGCCCAAACCCTGGCCTCATCCTGCAGGCCCTGACCCTATCCAACGCCAGTGACGGCTTCAACCTGGAGAGGCTGGAAATGCTCGGAGACTCTTTTCTCAAACACGCCATCACCACGTACCTGTTCTGTACCTACCCGGACGCTCACGAGGGACGACTCAGCTACATGAGGAGCAAAAAGGTGAGACCGAGTGGGGATTATTATGAAGGTGATACATTTTCATATGTCATAAAAAGTTTTTCAGTCAGAAGTTTTAAAGTTGGAAACCCTGAGTATTTTTACTAACTTTTCTGAGACTACAGTTTGTAACCATGGCAACGTGTCCATGTTTCCTCTCATCATGTCTGCTTGTGTCCTCGTCCAGGTGAGTAACTGCAACCTGTACCGCCTGGGGAAGAAGAAGGGTCTCCCCAGCAGGATGGTGGTGTCCATCTTTGACCCCCCCGTCAACTGGCTGCCCCCTGGATACGTGGTCAACCAGGACAAGAGCATCCCCGATATACCGGACTCAGAGGAGGTGAGTCAGCGGACTTTATCATCTTGTGCGTGCGTGCGTGTGCGTGCGTGCGTGTGTGTGTGTGTACTCTGTTTGTACACCTGTAGGGTTTGGATCCTTTTTTATTATTATTATGATTGAAAATAAGTTTCACTCCAGTTTAAGGTTAAAATTAAAATGAGCTGATCATTGTATTATGGTTAAAGATTGTTCTCAGTATTTCACGTTTGTCATAGAAGTTGTGAGTGTTGCTTTGTCGTCCAGCCACTAGAGGGCAGACTTCATCCTTGCCTTGTAGCTCACCTTCTTAAATGACTTTAAGCAGCGCTCCAAGGTAGAAGAAGTAAATATTATACATGAAAGGAAATACATTTATAATTCTACCACTCTGAGATCAGATTTTTCTGCACTTTTAAAAGAAAAAACAGCTCAAAGTGAATACCAAATATATATAAAAAATACAAGTTTACAATGAATGAATTGAAGCTGGCGTGCTCACTGTGGGTCGGGATCCATAATGTGCTCTGTGGTGGGAATAAATTGTTGAAAAGAAAGCCAACAACAGAGCAGCTTGACTTGTGGGAGTAGTGGAGGGGTCTCTGAGATGGTTAACAGTCTCTTGTGTTGGAGAGGTCGAAGAAGGAAAGAAAAGTGGAAGTGGCCTTCGTCAGGGCGTTAGATTGAAAATAGAAAGTGCTTCCATGTTGTGTCGGCATGTAACATTTTCCCTCGGACCAACACGTCACAAACTGAGTCACATGGAGGCACCCAGCCGTACGTCTGTCCCTGTACGTCTGTCCCTGTACGTCTGTCCCCGCACACCTGTCTTTACTTCCAACACCCTGAAGGAGGCCACCAGGCTGAAACACGTCAGCATTTTTCTTTCCTACTTCAACCTCTCCGTCACAAGAGTGCCTGTGAACACATCTGAAGTACCTGAAAAATGATACAAATCCGCAATTATATTTACTGATGGGACTTGTCTAAATTCAGATTAAACCATTGAAGGTAACATTTAACACGTTGATTGTTTAATTCAGCTGTGTAAAGGTAAAGATGGCTACGGCATGCTGTATCAAATAAAGATTTAAAATACCTTTTAATAATAAGTTTTAAGCTTTTTTTAACATGTCAAAGATTCTAGTTTTGACCACAGTCTAATCAGATTCAGACATGCTGAGAGGGTTGTAAATGAAGGAGTCAGAGCGCCCTCTGCTGGACAAACTCTATGTTGACATCAATTTAAAATCTCCTCACATACTTGTTCTGCTTTACATTTTTCGTTTGTTAAAGAAGAATTCATATCAGGATATATGAGGAGAGAAAGCAGGCAGATACAGATTACAGGAGCATATTGGCCAACCAATCTACCAATCAGGTTAGAAGAAAAAGCGTTGCAATGAGTCGATTGTTGCAGTCGTTGAGGTTCAGATTTATGATCGTGTTTTAGACTCGGAGCAGACCACAGAGATGTTGTTTTTTTGTAACTGCCTCGTTTGTAGATTGTGATTGATTTGAAATGTCTTTGTTTCTGCAAACAAGTGAGCTTGTTTTCACAGCTTTTGTTTTACAGCTTCATTTTTTATTATAAGAACCATTTGTCCAAACCACAAGTAAAGAGCGAAAACCTCTCTGTTGTGTGTAAAGGGAGGAGATGCCAAACCAAAGCCGTGACTCAAGGAGAAGTCGCAATCTGCTGCAGTTTAACTCATCCTTTAAACCACATTCAGGGAACTCACGTTTGAAACCATGAATCATTTTCATTTTGACACAAATTATTACAAGAAATTGCTTGTCAATTCTGGTCGACTTTTATGTAGAAGTTTTTCTTTCTTGAACGAGTATAAACATGGATGAGGCTCCGGGTTTAAACCCGGGTTCAATCCCCGGCGTCAGTAGCTCAGTCTGCAGGGACTTGGGTTTGGAACCAGAGGCTTTGCCGGTTCAAGTCCTGGTGCGGACCAAGTCTGGAAAATGGTCTGATAGCTGGAGAGGTGCCAGTTCACTTACTGAGCACTGCTGAGGTGCCCCACCAGCTCAGGAGTGCTCGCTGTGGCCCCTTCACTCTGACATCTCTCCTGTAGTGCATGTCCACATGATCTTGCAGCATTAATAAAGTAATTCTTCTTCTTGAACTCTTCTTTTCTGTTTGTGTTCATATTCAGGCCAAAGAGGAGCTGCTGGCCAACGGTCGCTCTGGAAATGACTTTGATGAGGAAGAGGAGGAGGAGGAGTTGGAGGAGGAGGAGGTGGTGGAGGATGATGCTGAGCTGATGCTGAAGGACGAGCCGAAAGATGAAGTCAACATGGAGGACGATCTGGAGTACTACAAGGAGCACATCAAGTTCATCGACAACATGCTGCTGGGATCCGGTGCGTTTGGAAAGAAGATCTCTCTGAGCGGCTTCCCTCCCCCCCTCACCCCGGCCTCAGCCGCCTCCCCCCCCATGGAGTCTCCCTACGAGTGGAAGCCCCCCAAAAAGGCCCACCATCCCACCACAGCCCACTTCCCCGCCGAGCCGGCGCCCAGCGCACCTTCTGCTGAGGAGTTCGATTACAGCTCGTGGGACGCCATGTGTTACCTGGACCCCAGTAAAGCCGGAGAGGAGGACGACTTCGTGGTCGGTTTCTGGAATCCGTCAGAGGAGAACTGCGGCGCCGAGCTCGGCAAGCAGTCCATCTCGTACGACCTGCACACGGAGCAGTGCATCGCCGACAAGAGCATCGCTGACTGTGTGGAGGCTCTGCTGGGCTGCTACCTGACCAGCTGTGGAGAGCGAGCCGCACAGATGTTCCTCTGCTCACTGGGCCTCAAGGTGAGTTTAGAAACATGCTGCAGGCAGATGCTACAGTGTATATCTCTCAGCTTTACGGCAAACTGGTCTTTGTTGAAGTTCTTGAAAGTGTCTTGCCTCTGTGGGTTCTGGACTGTGCATGATGGGTGTGAAAGTGGCTTCAGAAAATCAAAGACTACATTATATGTTAGTGATAAATGATATCTCCGTCCACCACCTTGGGAAGGCCTGACGAGTAGCCCTGGCTTTCCAGAGCCAGCACCCCCATGCTAAACAAACAAAACACAAAGATTGTTGTTGCCAACATTACACAAAAGAAAAGACAAAGGCAGAGAGAAAAGTTGGTAGGGCGATATGGGGGAGAAGTCAGGTCAGGCTGACGCTTTCTCCCGCTGGATGGTACAAAATGCACTACCTCCTCCTAGTCTCTCTCTAAAGATGTCAGTGGACAGCAGAGTCCAGACCTGAAGAGCTGCCATGGGCCAGCATAGGAGGGTCAGCTCTTCAGGTCTGGACACTAACATCTGAAAGGAGAAGGACACTACAGTAAAAAAAGCAGTATGTTTCAGATGTTTGGAAAGGAATTCTCTGCTTGTTTTGGAGGATCAGAGTTGTTATTGTTGTTTCTGCTGACTCCAGGTGTTGCCGTTGGAAAGAGGGAACCTGACGGGAGCGGTGGTGCAGAGCCGTCACACAGCCATCGACCTGTGCTACGGCTGGCTGAAGATCCCACCCCGCAGCCTGCTGGACCATCCGGACGCAGAGCGAACCCTCAACCACCTCATCTCGGGCTTCGAGAACTTTGAAAGCAAGATCAACTACACCTTTCAGAATAAGGCTTACCTTCTGCAGGCCTTCACCCACGCCTCCTACCATTACAACACCATCACAGGTCAGACTGAACACTGTGTGCTGCACACTTCAGAAATACTAGTTTCATTTCAGTATACAATGGGGTTATGTGGATAAATGCATCCATCTCATGCTGCATGAGGCTTTATACTGATTTCTGCTCACCAGCATGTTCTCCTCTGCTCTTTGGTTGATCCTGTGAATAAGTCAAATAATTTGTAGCATTGGTGTAAAGGCAAAACACTGTCATCATAGTGTTGGCTCTGTTACTTCGTCCGACATCTTAGCGCATCATTTTACGTCATGTCTAGCCTCCTGAGGTCCGCCAGAGGAAACGTCCTACTGTGAGGATTTTTTATGCCGGAATATTAGAGGGGCCGCCTGCCTGATATTTTCTGGAAATAGAAGAAAGCGGCTAACGACTTGTTTGTTTCTCTCTCTTCAGATTGTTACCAGCGGCTGGAGTTCCTCGGTGATGCAATTCTAGACTACCTCATAACAAAGCACCTTTATGAAGACCCACGGCAGCATTCCCCCGGCGTACTGACCGACCTGCGTTCCGCTCTCGTCAACAACACCATCTTTGCCTCCCTGGCTGTCAAGTACGACTACCACAAGTACTTCAAGGCGATCTCGCCCGAGCTGTTCCACGTCATCGACGACTTTGTGCAGTTTCAGCTGGAGAAGAACGAGATGCAGGGCATGGACTCTGAGGTGAGTCCTGCTTCTAGCCACAGACACGAGCAGCATCAGAACAACAAAAAGCCCTGCAAGAAGAAATCTAATCTGTACAGCTGTAGACCCCCCCCCTCAAAAAATAAAATAAAAGTCTGCATTCAGAAAGATCTGCCTGCATAACACGACTGTTAGCTTTATGAATCTGTTTCATATTCCAAAGATTTCAGCACTGAGGAGAAAATGCACTTGGATTTAATTTGCCTGGAAATGGCTATCTTGGCACCAGATCTCCTCTCAGAGGTACGCATGAGCCTTAGGCACATCAGGCACATACAAGAGCATCCTGGGATTTAAAAAAAAACATAGCTGAAAGAAATAAAGAAATATGCTGCAGTGACCTGGTATCGCTCCACGGCTCACTAATAATAGGAACTACAACCCGATGAAGCATATGTTAAGCTTGTACATGTTCCTGTGAGTCTGTCAGTGAATCGTCTCTTACTCTACATGTTGTTAAGAAGGTAGAAAAAGCAGCTGCTGGTGTTTTTAGAGGGGGTCTTCTGAGAAGAGCCAGTCCTTGTGTTTCCACTTCTGAGTTTTAATTTTAAGTTTGTTTAAAACATCATTTTATCCAGGAATAATGTCCGTACTGGTTTGTATTGAACTATAGGAATTATTCAGGGCTGATTATTCAAAATAAAAGAATCAGAATCTGGTTTATTGTGGAGGTTAACAAATACAAAGGATGAGAAAAGATGAAAAAAAAAAGCTCTAAAAAAGTTAATTGTCTTATTCATCATACAGATTTTAAAAACAAGGCAAGTCATCAAAAAGCTGGGTAACAACCCACACTATAACACCTCCTGCTCAGGTGCTCCTTAGTGTCTGGTATGTATCTAAGTAGCTGACTGTGCTGAGGACGACGCCCTGGGGAAGGTGGTTTGGGCCGCTACGCGTGGGTTGTTACCCGGCTTTTTGATGACTTGCCTTTTTTTTTCTTTTTTTTTAATCTCTATGATGAATAAGCTTTATACTTTTTTCAGAGCAGTGCCTTGGCTTTTTTTCATCTTTTTGAATTTTCTGTTTCCCACCAAAGAACACCTTCACCATACTTAGTTTAATCCTGCGAGCACTTTTTTTTTCTAACAATGGATTTGACTTGGTGATTGATACTAAAGCAATAAACACAGAAGAAGGAGAAAAAATTAGATGGCAGTTAAACAGCAGAACTACTCCCCACAAGGAACTGAAGAAGAGTAAGATCAAAAAATATACAACAAGTGCAAAACCAACAAGGGATCTACTGATTAGGTTCAAGAACTCCTTCAATCATTTCAGCTTAAAATCTAGAAAATTAGTTTTTTAAAGGCATCTCTACCTAGAAATAAAAATTATGTAATTGAGTCATCAGCTCACAGCGTCGTGTGTTTCTGATTCCAGCTGCGTCGCTCTGAAGAAGACGAGGAGAAGGAGGAAGACATCGAGGTCCCGAAGGCCATGGGGGACATCTTTGAGTCTTTGGCTGGAGCCATCTACATGGACAGCAGGATGTCCCTGGAGACGGTGTGGCAGGTGTATTATCCAATGATGAGGCCACTCATAGGTGAGGAAAAGTCTGAGCGTACTTCTTTATTCATCATTGTTGAGCAGGTCATGAAGAGGTGTGAGCGGTTTCTACCATTCAGGATTACAATCAGTCATTTTGACATATTCAAGAATTGTAGGTCTAAAGATATTCATGATGCCACTTTAGAGGTCACATATTCTCCTCCTTTTCAACACGTTTAAATAAGTCTAAGAGCTCCAGAAAACATTTCTGTAAAGTTTAAGTCAAGGTTGTAAAGGCGACCCAGGGGTCGACCCAGTTCTCACTGGAGGGGGTTATATATCTTGGAGCTGGAAAACATTGCGGGGAAGGCACGTTGCTTAGCCTGCTGCCACTGTGACCCAGCCCTGTATGAGTGGAAGAGGGATGGATTTATTGTTCTAAATCCACTCTGATCCTGTATTTGATTATGCCTATAAACCCCTCTATTTCAGCCCTGCTCAGAACAGGCTGTTTCCGTGTCTGTACCTTTAAATATGTAAATGAGCTGTGTCTGGCCACGCCCCCTCTCTGGAAGTGGCTCGGGCTTTCTCCTTCCATGCCCTGTTGTTTACGGTGAGAAGGCAGACTCAGAGGGCAGAACAAACACCTAGCTGTGGGAGTGTCACCCACCTGGGGGAGGGGCTACTGCCCTTTGTGATGTCATGAAAGGAAAATCTCCAAACGGCCTGTTTGAGCACACATTTTCTGAAAAGTAGAGCAGGTGAAAGATGGAGAGGATGGACTTTTCTCATCATTGGGGGGTTTGGAGACGGACTAGGGACACATGTTAGTGTTAGAGAAACATGGTGATGTTTATTTAGTATAATATGTGACCTTTTAAAACCTTCTTTTCTTTGACCTCCTGCAGAGAAATTCTCTGCCAATGTGCCACGCTCTCCTGTGAGGGAGCTGCTGGAGATGGAACCAGAAACTGCCAAGTTCAGGTACAACATCATGACTTCTCATTACCTAGACAGACGTCTATCTCCAAACTTAGTCACTATTAATCTTAGCGATGCAACAATAACAGGCCAGAACAATCAAACCAGACTTAACTGATAACTCTGTGTTGAGGCTCTAATTCCTGTCATGAATTTCATAGCTGTATTTGGGCTGCTGATGGCAGCTTAAAGAAGCTCACTGGTTGTAACTGTCTGAATGATGAAATCCTGTTTCTGAGTCTGATCCCCTGTTCTGTGTGTGCAGCCCCGCAGAGAGGACGTACGACGGGAAGGTCCGGGTGACGGTGGAGGTCGTCGGTAAGGGCAAGTTCAAAGGAGTGGGCCGCAGCTACCGGATCGCCAAGTCAGCGGCGGCGCGTCGAGCTCTGCGCAGCCTCAAAGCCAATCAACCTCAGGTCCAAAACAACTGAGCTCAGCATAAGCACCTAAGCTATCGATGCTAAATGAGAGAAAGCAACACCGTCTTCCCGGACACACGGCGCAACGCTCGCCCTGCCCTGCATCCTCAGCCGGGTGGGGGGAGGGGGAGGGGGGGCCTGTGGAGACGCAGCAGGAGAAGCAGACTGATCTCACAACAGATTTCACATCAGATCTCGTACCTTTTTTCGTTTTCTTTTTTTATCCCCCTTTTTTTTGCGCAAACACAATCTTTACTTTTCCCTCTCTGCTTTGTGTAATCACATGAGTGCTTTATTAACGTTTAGCAAAGTGTCTAAAAACAAAAAAAAAAAAAAAAAAAAAAGGGTCAGGTCGCAATGTCTACTCCTCACTGTTACGTTTTTTTTTTTTTTTTTGTACCTGCGTGTCAATGAGACGAGGCTTTTGCTTATTGTGTAGTTTTTGGTTGTACATAGTTCAATCAAAGGTGTAAATCAAAGTATGTAGGAAGTTTAAAAAAAAAAAAAACACAAAAAAACGCTAAACTCCTCAGCCTGTGCACTAGTGCCAGTCGGTTTTACAGCGGATTTGAAAACGCTAACGGCAGACGTGGCTAACAGATACCACTGGAGCAAAAAAAAAAGAAAGAAAAGAAACCCCTGGTGGCACCTCTGTCTGAAATCTGAAATCTGTCTTGAAATGGTATTCTTAATCATTTTTGCACTAATTCCATTAGGGTCTGTTACTTTGAGAATTGTGTGGTCACATTGACACCAAAATCATTTACGTAGCAAAGAATATAAATATATATATAAAAAATCAAATACATGAACGATATCTTCGGCCTCTCGCTAAGGCCCGCCCCTCATATCCTGCAGAGACGAGAGGAATTTCAACATTCCCAGTTACTGTAATTTAAAACTCGTTTTTAAAAAAAACCTGCACTCGAGGTCGCATGTTCCTGTAGCTTCTGTGTAAACCACGACAACTGGACGGCTTCTTTAAATGTTTCAACCTATGGATATATACTCTGGAGAGTGTGAGAGCAAGAGGACACGACGTGTGTGGCATTATCTGGATGATTTGGTTCAACATGTTTTGATACACGGCGGGGATTGGAAGTCGATTCTCGCACGCTCAAACGTTCTTTCAGCCGAGCGAATCATCCAGTTTTGATATAAAACGAGAGGAAGACATATCACACCACACGTTGGATATATGCTGCAGACTTTTCTACAAAATTGGACACACAGAATCTTTTTTGAGTACATCGTCTTTGTGAAAAAAAGGCCGACTCACGTTTCCTCACATCCCCAACCTACCAAAGCTAGAGCAGATGTGACACTATGAGGTTGAAGTCGAGTCCGATACGGATACCAGCCTTTTCTTTTTTTTTTATGGTTTCTGTTCCGACAAATTTTGCTTCTCGCTAAATGTATTTTATTTTTTGTTCTCATCATCGTCATCATTAAGCCCTTTGTTCACGTGAATACCTCAGTTAATTGCATGCATTTTCGTTTTCTTTTTTTTTTTGTTTGGTGCTATGTTTTTTTGTATTAAGCTTGAATTTCTCGTCTTTTTTTGCACTGTAACTATAATACCTCTTTTTATTTGACCTTTTTTTTTTTTTTTTTTAAATCTGTTTGATTTGGTTGTCCCGTTCGTTCGTCAAGCTGCGTCGTCTCCCTCCCCCACCTCCCCCCCTCATGCTTGAGGTTCACACTTTTTTTGGGGGGGAAGGAGGGGCAGGAAGTCTATTCTCTGCACAGAGGCATAACTTCTTTTTCTTTTTTGTCTCCTCATCATTAGCTATGAGTGTCATCAGTGGAGATACTTTTTTAGACATCCGGGTTAAAACCAACAGGACTGAGTAATCAGAAGGGTATTTGCTCGCAGACGTGGTCGGGTTGTACTCATCATTTCATCAGCGGTCGTTTCATAAAACTATGGACATATTTCAAGGGTTGTTTTAGGATTTCACTAAACCTGGGTCCTTTATTCTTTAATATTGGCAGGCAAAAGACAGAGAGGATGGACTTTTCTCATCATTGGGGGGTTTGTAGACGGACTAGAGACACATGGTGAAGTGTATTTTGCATCATATGTGAACTTTAACTCTGAAGAAAAACAGCAACATCTAATTCAGTGATTCTCAACTGGTCCAACTCCTCCAGGAAAAATTGCGACCCAAATTTTGTATGTTTTTGACCAATCAGATTTATTTACTGAAAACCTGTGCAGATTGCACATATTTATTTTTGCTCTCTGCTGGAATTGTTCTGATTTGAATTACCTGCCAACCGCTAAACCAGCTATCCGATTTCTAATGTGTTGCCATATTTTTTAAAACTGGTTCCTACCGATAACTAGCAAGAATAAAAACTGAGGAAAGTCTTTGTTTTCTTCACATGAAAATCAATGAGAAGTCAGTCTTCATGTAGTCCATCAGTCGTCCGTGTTTGACTGTAAAACAGAGTGCAATCTGTCATCACGTCTCGAGCATGTGGATCCTTCAATCTGAGCTGTTTAGATTTCTCTGTTAGAGTCACACACCTCCCGACACCTCAGTCTGTAGTACACACACACACACAGCCATGACACACTAATTATCTGTAAGTTCCCAGGAAGGGGGAGGGGGGGGGTTACTAACAACGAATGTGAATCACTCATACAGTACCACCCTCAAATAATCTGATCAGGCATAAATACACAACAACCTTTTCTTTTGATCTCCGAGGGAGGTGTGTGTGTGTACGGAAGGGACGGAGGACAGAAGGAGGGTCCTGTGTTTTTCAGAGCGGACTTTGTTGTTTCTCGACCCGATGGATTTTAATTTAATTTTTCTTTCTTTTTTTGTACATGTAGCACAATTGAGCATTGCACTTGGGCGCCATACTTTACCTCATGTCAGAGTGTGAAAGGGAGTGAACGATGGAGGAAACAAAGACGAGTGTATATACGATGTTAAAGAGGACTCAACTTGTGGTTCAGGCTTTGCTGCTGCCGCCTCCATGCTGGTATTCAAACAATAAAGGAAGGGCTGTGGGAGGAGACACGACACGGGCCTGTAAGTGATCTGTACAAATATCTGGACGTCTTGTTCTGTGGCGTCCTGCCTCAAACACGTCCATCGACTCTCTGCCTGACTACTTTAGAGTCACTGATGCTTCATCCTACCGAGTCGCTCCTTTTGTCCAGAGCTGTGTCAGTCTGAAGTCAAACCTCCCAGCGCGCTTAGCCAGAGCTTAAAGGAAACATCCACTCAAACATGTTTCTGTACTGTTGGAAAAACAAAGCAGTCCGTACAACTGTCTGTCACCTTTCACCCCCGCGATTTAAACGACCTGTAAGAATTGAGAAATGAGCATTTTAGACGTCGTGTTCGAAGGGGGAAGGAAGAAATCCCAATAAGAAACGAAATAGGAAAAAATGCTAAACCATAAAAGTCTATCTTTTCCCGCCTTTTAGCAGCCGGGTGTCGGAGTTTTGTTTGAATCATCTGAACAAATTAACTGAATCAGCAATTCGCCGCTCACTGAAAGCTACTTTTCTGTAATTTTATTCAGTGTGCTGCAGGTTTTCTTTCTATGTTCCTGCAGAGTAGCACCTGAGAACGTAGGTTGGCCGTGCCTGGACCACCCGCTTGGTCTTTTAGATGAACTACCATTTCTTTAGACCGCCTCAGCTGCATCTCTGTTGTCCACTGTGAGGTCAAGAAGGGTTTAAGAAAAGTTGGGAAATTGGCTTCAACTGCTGCCAATCTAATTCTAATCTCCTAGTCTTTGTATCTCTATCTCTAGCTCTAGTCTTAAAATATCTTTTGGTTAAAATGACATGAACAGTTTTAGAATTGCTCCTTAAAAAACAACAACCGTGGTAGTAGTGGGGAAAAGAAACACCAGCAGCAGCAGACAGTCGTTGCTGATTGTTAGCATGTTTTCCAGCAGTGCGGGTGTCTGAATGTGGATCTTTTCCTTTGAGCTCCGGTGTAAAGTCATGGTCAGTGTGAACAGAGGGTTGTATTTCCTCTGTGAAACGATGACTCTTTGTTTTGGGCAGCATGAAGTCTGTCTCCTAAATCCAGCACAGAGCCTGACAGCAGGCGAACACCAGCAGAGCGGAGCTGAACGTGTCCAGTGATGGACTGATGATGTCAGTGTGGTGAATTATGGGCCATCATGACCTGCAGCCAGAGTGTAAGGGACGGTGGAAGAGAAACTCCTCAATCATACTGTAATACCGAGCTGCAGTGGTTTGCGGTCTGCACCTTATGGATCACAGAAACCTTTAATTTTGTTTGTTTGGATTTTTTTTTTCTTCTTTTTTTTTTTTTACAATTGTAGCCCAGTATATCTACAATAAAGTAATGGTATGGTCATTCACCTTGTGGTCATGTTGTTTATTGAGTGTAACCATTGGATGAAGCCTGAGTGACATCAGTCTTCTGTTCCTGCAGGGGGCAGGGGGCTCATTGGCAGCAGCCGCCATGTTGGAAATCCTGTCTCAGCCTAACTTTCAGTCAACCTAACGACAGGCTGAGAGCTGGTGCTGAGGCGGGGTTTAAGCCTCTTGTCATACCGCTACATCACGCCCACATGTCAGCTACGCGCCTAAGTATGGATAGCATGTATCGTTAATCAAATCAAAACGGATGCGATATTTAAAAAATCACCCCCAGTACAGTGTGTGTCAATCAAGAGATGAGCTAATTCATGAGAGCAACCCATCCGGGTACTTTGCCCAAACGATGCTGGCCGCC